TAACCGTGATTGAGCAATCATCTCGCGTGACGAGACGGAAGCACACACCATCCCAGATTTGCGTCCAAACCTGTCTGCCAGGTACCCGAAAGACAGCATGCCGGCGACCTGACCCGCGAAAGTAACTGAGGTCAAGGTCGTGCTGTAGGATGTCGGCATAGCACTGCCATAGATGCGCTTAAGGACTGTGAAGCGAATAAGGACCGTGGTCACAAGACCAGTGTTGAGAGAATACTCACGTGTGTTCACAAGTCCAATAACACCGTTGGCGTATCCTAGCAGCCAGTGCGGTCAGCAAGCGCATAACAGATCTCGATGCCGCAAAGCGTACCATCTGAGAAGAGGGCTGTGCCACATCTGGGAGCGACGACATGAGCATCAAAGTGTGGGGAAGGGCGTGGCGGTGCGAACGTACGCGAAGATGAGGGAGACCTGGCGGAGGGTATTCCGTTTGACCAACATTTTCGAGGACAAGTATCCACGGGACGCTGGAGAGCGGGAGGCGGAGGACTGTGGGCATGTCCTGCAGATACGGCCTGGTACTTATCCTCATAAGCACCCTCGTCCATTGATTGATGACCGCCACGAGGGCAATCTTTTCCGCCTGGCGCCTTTCCCGACTGGGACGCACGTGCGTCACATTTGATGCAGTCAGATTCGATCGAGGAGCACTCCCCCGCGCACCCTGCGACCATATGCTCAGGTTGCCAGTTTTCCGTCGTCCTCGGTGCCCGACAAGTGTTTCATGCTACTGCCTTTGCATATTCCCCAGCCCTCCTACACCATCCACCAGAATAGCACGACCGGGCGTGCTCCCCTTTCCAGATCTCGGGGAGGGCAGTCGGTGGAATACATTCCGAGACGGCGTAACTGCCTTCTTGAGGAGTACGCTCGACATAGCCACTAGGCCAGGCACCATGCGATGACCACTCACCATGTGCGCGGCGCTGTGGCTCTTCCGTGGCTCGCCTCACCACCGAACAATCCCATCGAACGCCAACATGTTCACTTGCTGACGTACCATTTTTTGCTCGTGAGACCGCCCCGACACAGCCCGGCGGCAGCCTACTGAACATTTTCCTCGGCTGAGTATGACGGCATACGTTTTCGTGAAAATATTTTAGCACCACGCAGCAGCTGGCCGAGATGGTTGTGGATTTGTCGAAAGGCCCTTGATATCTCCCGAATCTTCAGCCGCTCCCAGGCGCCTCTCGTATATGCCGGCCGTCTCAAGCTCTACAGCCTCAACGTCGGGAGCAGATATCGGCGTCGGCACTATACAGCCCGCACGAACGTGCTCTTTGAATATTGACGGTGTTATTGCAGTAGGTTAGCGTTCAGTCAGAGTACCAGTGGTCGTGTGAGCTCAATTTGTGCTGTGAGGGTCGTGTGCTGCGGCTGCCGCCATGGTCCGAGGTAATCAGAGGGAATCCCATCCTATCGGGGCATGTGCTTCCTGCACGTCCATGTACAGCCTCTTTGCCAGAGGACCACGCAAAAGGGTCAGCATTTTCGCACAGTGCCGGGGCTCCATTTTCCATTCCGAGAAAAATACATAAACCTGGGTGCACAGCCTCTGATTTTTCCCAATTTACGCTCAGCCCGACCCCGCCCGATCTCCCCCGCCAGTTTAGCAGCGAGGTACGGCGCGAGTAGTGGCATACCTCGCTGCTAAACTAGCAGAAGGTGAATGCCCTTTGAGTCGATCTTTGCCCTGTGCGACTAGGAGCCACATATCTTCTCCCGCGAAGTGTTGTCACTCGCCCGACGTGATCGATGTTCAAAATGTTAGGCTTTGCGGGACCAGTCGGCGGCGCGCGGCCGCTGAGTCTATGCTCAGACGGCTCTTCGTAGGGCCACCGGAGCGTTCGCGAGCTCCGCTGGCGGATCGCAGGCGGACTCTTCTAGGTCCGACGAAGCTCAGCGACGGGACTGGCCAAGCGTAGTTCTCGCCTCCCGACCCTACGGATTCGGGAGGTTCCTGAAGGGCTATGGGAGCTATACTGGGATGATCCAGTGAGCAATACTTGGACGTCGTCCATTACTAAAATACTTATCGTCTCTCGATCGCCTCATCAGCTTCATTTCCATCTTTTCGCACACCATTTCTGGCGAATGTTCAAAGAGAACCCATGCCCCTGGCTGGCCGTAGACATTCCGTAGATGTCGGAGGTTGGTGAGCGCCGCTGGCCAAATTTCAACTGCAGAACAAGTCCCATGATTACCTTCAAGCTTCGCTTGTGGTCGTGCTTTCAATGTGACCGGGTTATTCAAACGTTCGTACCTGGCTCTATACATTGTCTTCCTAATATCAAGATCCAAACACCGTTGATAGCTGTCCCTTGTTACTTTCCTGTGGATTCCCAAAGACTCATATGACGGCGCTACGTGTTCCCTTGGCTTCATCGTTCAACATCAATATTTGCGCATGATGCTCTAACGATGATCATAAGATAATTGCGTCGGAGTCAGCTACATTGTAAGATATTCTCGTGGGCAAAGATGAGGCTGATCACTCTAAGTCTGCAGGCATTACTGCGATTCCCCTTTGGCTCATAAGAGGTTCGGCCAATCCATGTCCCGTCCCGCCTCGCCTCTCGAGTCGGTTGATAAACTACTCGTATCGACTCTGTCATGTCTAAACTATATCTTAATATTTTTCTGATATCTATTGCAGCTGTATATCGAACAGCGAATGCGTTTCGGTACGACGAGCAGCTAAGAGTCCCTAATCTATAAACTCTACAAATCCGACAGACTCTTTATCTTAGTATTCCCTTATTTGGACGCTATCGAACCCTCTTGATTGGTGGATGAACTGACACTTCCCCACAATTCATGTCATAATATGCTCATTTTTGTACACTCAACGTATACTCAAGGCGAGCCCGAAAGTAGCGATATTCAAGATCTCATGCAACTAACACGTCAATGCACGAAGTGATCGAAACGTTCCCCGACAGGCCATCTACTGCTTCGTCTCTCCAGAGACTCGATATGACGATACAATAAAATAGTACCTTAATCAACTCATTTGAGTCGGCCAAAGATCACCTCTCCATACACCTTTCATGGACGGCGAGGCACAGTCGTTATCGGGATCGATGGAGACGGTCCTCACGGAGGCCGGCACACGATTGTTTTGCTGCGGAAACCTGCCCATATGCTGGCTGTCTTCGATGAAGTACGTAGAGCTTGCAGATTTCCTTACGTCTCCTTGCTGCGGATATGTCAACCCCCCAAACTACTGCGGCCCAACGTCTGATGACTGACTGTTGTCAGATCCGCGAAGGTCATGTCCTGCTGCGCCCGTGCTGCCAAGACCCGGCTCGAGCTCGAAGGGATAATGAGATGCCTGTCGGACCCGAAGACGGTCCAGGCTCGCCCGCGGATGCCTTTCGTGACGCCCGGGGTGCGCAGAATATAAAGAGGAGCTGAAGCGGGCAGCTGATCGACTCAGCCCTTTCGCCCGCTCTACATATGATCGTCCCGGAAGAAGATATTACACTCACCCTCACCCCGGACAATGTGTCGAATACGGCGCTGGTATCGGAAACAGGGAGACGCCTCTACACTGTTAGCACCGAGCATGGCAAGGCAACGACGACTAGCGTCAGGAATACCAGAGACGAGGTTATAGCATCCTTGGAATGGCGCAATGTGTTCCCTGATAAGGTGACTATTGGGAGCAAGGAGCCTATTTTGATGACGGAGTGGATGAAGAGGAGTATCATACCGTTTAAAGAGTGAGTAGCGTCTGGTATCTTTTCCAAGTTTATTTATTGAATCCTGCTTACCGAATGCTCAGCGACCTCACTTTTACCGATGGTGAAGGAAGAAAGTACAAGTGGAAAGGAAACTCGGCAGGTCGGTCCTTCGAGGTACGTCCAGTCGGTTCAAGAGCTCTCCGCTGTAGATACTTACCTTCACCTAGTTGTGCTGCGCGGACGACAACTATTTGTCCATCATCGCACGCTTTCAGCGTAGTAGACGCGTAACTTCTCCTTCATCGTTAACGGCAGAGCCAAATGCTTCTACACCGTCCCTCGCACCGACCCCCGTCAATCCGACGTGGACGCCGGCGGTGCTGGTGCTCACACCTCGGGCGCAGCAGATTCAGGATACAGTTGTTGTATCGTTTCTATTCCTGGAGAAGACTCGCAGGATCAACGAAACTGAACATCAGACTCGCGCTGACGTCCTAGGGACTGCTGTATTGAAGCCCGTGGGAAAGAGTGCCATGGTGGTGGTGAATGGTGGAGTCTGAAGGATCGTGGGCGTACCTAGGGAATATGTCATCAAATAATAAAACACAGCTAACTTCTTGCCAATTTCGAGCATGATGGCTTCGAATTGTCAAGCAGGAAGTCATGAAAGAGTCGCAAGACATGGCAGGTTCAAAGCGAACGGGAGGCGCTTGTCCGTTTGATGCGCTGATGCACCTGAACGCCACAAAGGCCTGGCGCCAAGACCTCAGCAACACCTTCTGATGGATTCTTCCAGCCTTTCCCTCAGCAGACGAGGTCTATGAGGTCTTATGAGAGATTTATCAACGCGCTGGATTTGCTGGTGAGGAAATTGTGCAGCTCCTTCGATGGTCGCATATATGCATGAGGCTTCTACAGTAGCGGCGCTGCACGGTTAATCCGCGATGATCACTATTCTAGAATAGCCAGTGGCACGCAAGACTTATTTAAAGTCAATATGTTCCGGTTTTTGTTACCTCAGTTTTCCGTAGCCACATACAAAGCTTAGGATCTGGTACCAGTACTAATGCCAAGATGAACCTGCAATCATCATGCGACGGTGTAAATCCGCCCCGGTGTGGGGCGATAAATCACTCAGACCGTCGGACAGGGCAGGAAAAAGCTCTGTTCGCCTGAGACTCGAGCCTAGTACATTTTTGAACTAGAGAAAGAGACAAATGACAGGAAAAGGGCGAATTACGTACGTGATTAGGTAAGCGTACCAAACAGGGATACCCGAAAGCGGAAGCGGCGGGGTTACAGACGATTCATAAATTACAAGGTCGAATGCCTCCATAGTCAGCTGGTACTTGAATATTGAAGAATATTTGACTACACTTTCAGGCTGAAACGGCGACTAAACAGATTGAGAGGTAGGAAATAGTGAATCTCAGGTTCACTCTTGGCGACTCGCGAAAGCTATTAGGACCCTGGACCCATTACCTATAAGTAAACAGATTCGGAAAAGTACTAGCAGACGAGCGTATATCCAAATTTTATCGAGTATCTTTACGTAGGAACACGCTCATTGTGTCATCCTCTTGAGAGAAGTCACATTGGATGCAACATCCTGAATATTAATGCTCAATGCAGTGCGATGAGAGTACCTTGTAGAACCGCGAGCCACGCCTTCCTGTATTACTGTTCCTAGTTTCATCTAGACTCGGTAAGTAGATGTCCACCTTATCATCTGCAGTGGAGAAATATTAAATACGACGAGTCAGTGTGAAGCTGTTCTGAGGTGATTAGTTTCTATATTAGCCTGTCCAGCTGCCGCTTAGAATAAGGTAACGTTAATGAAGTAAAGCTATGCCTTTCAGGCAGGTAAAAACTTGATTGAAAGTGCGAGGAAGACTGTTTACCGGCAAGTGTATAAAGGGCGCGCGGGGGACCGACGCGTCGGGATCGCCCCGTGCGACCGTGCCGGTTTCAGATGCAAGGCGCCTGTAGCCTCAACCTCCCTTTGGCAGACTGTCCCCACGGAGCGCATCGACCAGACCTGGCTGGCGGAACCTACACTTACCCCACACCAACTCTGATATCTCCCCGTTTCCCATCATCAAGTGACCTCTGCTGCTTCCCCACGGGCCGTATGCACAGCGCACGGGCGTTCAAAAAGAGGCTTCGCGTCTAGGAACATTCCCTCAATCTCAGGTCCCGTGAAAAATGAAAGCATAGAAGGACGCTCGAGGATATAAAGCATGGCCCAACGCTCATCATACGAGGTACTCGAGCTCGAACCCCTCCTTGACGACCCAGACGCCATGGCGGACAAACGCGATTCTGTGGACGACAAGCTCGACGCAGAGAAGGTCGAGAGCCACTCTGTAGGCGGTGGGGTGGAGGAGACGTCACCAGAGGAGCGAAAGCTTGTGCGGAAGCTCGACTCGAGGATTATGCCCATACTTTGCATCTTGTACCTATTTGCTTGTGAGTTGCAATATCAGGAGCGTCGGCCGTGGCGATCTGAACATCTGGTAGACTTGGACAGATCCAACTTGGGGAATGCCCGCTTGCAAGGTCTACCGCAGGACACTCTCGGGGGCGACCCTACCGGAACGCTCTTTGACTGGGTGAACACAGGATTCTTCTTCTCATATGTGCGTCTCTCTTCTTGGTTGTACCATCTATCACTGGAGCTCTCTGCAGATTCTCTGCCAAATACCTGCAACGATTGCCTCCAAGCTGTTCCCACCTCGTCTATGGATTGGCTTTGCAACGGTTGGCTGGGGGCTGTCCTCAACGTTGATGTCCACGGGCTTTGACTTTGCTGGCCTTATGGCCTGTCGCATTTCGCTTGGCATCTTCGAGGCCGCCTTCGGTCCAGGGAGTACGTTGCAGGCTCGCTTGTCGCTGCTGTTCACACTAACGTAGCCCCGTAGTTCCCTTGTATATGTGTGCGTGGGATCTGTGCGTCCGTCCGGACTTGCCTAACGCATGATCTAGCCATATGGTACACTAAACGCGAGATGGGCCTCCGCATGGCGTACTGGTTCGGGTTTGCCGCCGTGGCGGGGTACGTGTGGGGCGTATGCTTCTATGTCAAGCTTGACGTTCTAACCTCTTCTTTGCAGCGCATTTGGTGGTCTGATAGCCTTTGGCATTCAGCAAATACACGCTGCAGTTGCCGATTGGCGACTGTTGTTCATCGTCGAGGGCGTTCCTACGATTTGCCTCGGACTGCTCACGATGTGGCTATTACCTGACCGCCCGGAGGAAACATCGTTCCTGACTGAGTCTGAGCGACAGATCCAACTCGAGCGGATGAACCGAGGTCTCCGAGCAGATGTTGGGAGAACGATCAATAAGGCGCATATCAAGGCCGCTTTTAAAGACTGGAGGGTTAGCAGACTAGCTCACTGCTCGGGGTACGCGCTGATCTTTGTAGATTTATATGGCTGGTATCATCTATTTTGGAGGGAACTGTGCACTTGCTTCAATTTCTGCTTTCCTGCCTACTATCATCAAAACATTCGGATTCAGTGAGTGACTTGTTTCGCGACATAGTGGCGTCTTCTGACATGCTTGTTAGCCAACGCTCGTGCGCAGCTACTCACAGTCCCACCATATGCTGTGTGTGCTGTCGTTTTATGCTTGGTGTCGTACGTCAGCGATCGTCTCCAAAGCCGTGGACTCTACGTTGCGCTGGCTAGTGCTCTCGGAGCCGTAGGCTACCTGATCCTCCTCCTGGCGACAAACGTCCATGCCCGCTACTTTGCCACATTCTGCATCACGAGCGGGACCTATACTGTCATCGGTATTGTTATCGCTTGGTGTAGGTCTATTCCGTTATTGGATGTCATGCGAACGAATCTGATCACTCACTGCAGTCTCACACAACCTCGGGTCGGAGTCTAAGCGAGCGACAGGCATCCCACTTTACATGGCCATCGGTCAGTGCGGCAGTATCCTGGGGAGTCACCTCTTCCCTGCAAGTGAGGGCCCAAGGTACATCAAAGGCTTCGCCGTTTCCTGCGCGCTGGAATTCTTGGGTTCGCTGGTTGCCGTAGTCCTGGCGGTATGCATCTCGTCTCTGAACCGATTCAGCTCCTGACGTGCCCGGCTCCAGGTGTCGTACCGAATTGATAATCACCAGCGCGATCGTAAATACGGTAAAGTGGAGAACACGGAAGCGACCGTGGAGACGCGAGAACTGGCAGACAAGGTGAGTGGCGTTCATGTCCGCAGGGTTTGAACCTAAATGCCGCTGCTACAAGGCTCCCATGTTCCGCTATGTCCCCTGAGGTGGAGGGATAGATACCTCCGGCGTTGCTATTGTTTCCATCGTCATCTTGCCGTAATATAGTACTCTGTTCAGTGTGAGATCTTCATGGAAGCAAATCCGATCGCGTTTACAGTGCCGCCACGCCGGAGAGTGCGAACACGCGTCTGGTGCATTACAGAGCACGTGATAGGCTCCTTGCTTGTGCCGCCATCACACCCCCAGTTTTCGCTTCGTCCACTCGGCGGCTTTGCTGGTCTACGTAAAGACATAACCAACTCCGTCTGCCCGCACGAGACTGAGCCAGGCCAACACTGACCGTGACGACAGGGCATAATCGCCAACGATTATCGCGATGGCGACAGAGTACCAGATACAGCTAGACCACACCGGCCGCCAACCACACCCATATCTGCACGAGTCCGTGCTATACATCTCAGGACTCCCGCCACATGTGAAAGACCAGGACCTAGCTACCGCTTTTGTAAGCTGTGCACCCTTCAGGCCAAATATCCCGCGCGATGGCAGTAACAGACCGCTCTCGGGAACAATTGAATTCAAGTACATCGAGAAGGGTGCGTCGCCTCCGCCGGCATCGTGCACCAGGGCGTATTGTGACCTCGCTTTGTAGCTGAGAAAGCGTTGGCTACGCTTCAGGGCCGTCAGATACCTCTACTTCAGCCCCCAGTCCAGCTCATTCTGTCGCCGTACCCGTCCACGACACCACCTACCCCGCTACCGCCACCGTCTGCCCAGCCACGCCTGGTAAAACATCTGCCTCCGGGCTACGCTGACTCACAACTGTACGATCTCTTCCGACCATTCGGCGCTCTGGCGTCTGTACGGACGCAAGTAGGCTTTGGAAAAGACACCGGTCTCGTGGAGTTTTGGAGAGAGGAAGATGCCAGGGAGGCCGAGGAAGCCATGCACTGTGCAGACGTTGAGGGACAGAACATTGCCGTGCAGATCTACATGCCGAAGAGGGCTGGTGCGACAATGTCCGAGTTCAATGTCGCTGCCCCGACATTTGTGCCGCAAGGCATGATCATGCCGTACGCGCAGGTTCCTCAGGTGTGTTGTCCTCCCAGATGCCATATGCTCATTTTCAACGTTCTTTCTCTGCCTCTGTGTCATCCTAGTATGTACCACCTCCACGATCTCCATACCAGCCTCCACGAAGCCCTCTACCAATAGTGCACGGTCCTGGCCAGCAAGTCCAGTTCGCGCCGCTTTCGGGCCCTGGTGCCAGCCACAGCGGATTGATCGATCCTTGTAATCTCTTTATCAAAGTGAGGCGCACCTGGCTCCCGTCGCCACGTATACATTGACCCCGTCATAGAATCTTGATACTTCTATTGACTCTAATGGGCTATTTTCCCACTTCCGCCAGGTACGTACTGCCGGAGACGTTCACACGCTCGCCATATGCTGACCTGATTTCGTAGTTTGGACAAATCGTTAGGTATGTCATCGTCCTTCCGCGTACGTGCTGAGACTAACGACTACTAGCGCGCGGGTGATGCGAAATGAGGGTGGGGAGAGTAGAGGCTTCGGTTTCGTGTCCTATCAGGCACCAGACCAAGGTGCGTAAACGCCGTTGTGCAGTAGGGATGCTCCGGATTGGCTTATCCTTGTTTGTAGCCTTAGCTGCCATGCATGCAATGAATGGGGTCGTTCTCGGGACGAAGCAGCTAGTTGTTCGCTTGCATGAGCCGAAACAGCTGCGTCAAGAGAAGCTCGCAGCTCGCTTTGGTGGGCACAATAACCACCCGAGAAGCCACAGCGGCGCTACTAGTCCTGCTGCGAGCGACGCCGGTGATACTTTCTCGAATTGGCCGAGCCCTAGCCATCGATCGATGGCTCTTGGATCCCCGGTTATGGGACATGACAGAGCCGATCGTGCGCGGAGGGGCTCGGGAAGCTATTACCAGGTACGCCAAACTGCACGTCCTACTTTACTGGCTGACGCTCAATATCGCTCTTCCTAGGCTGCTTTATCGGGTACCCTCAACTTACCTATGCGCTATGATGACCTTGCTGCGCTCTCGCCCGTTGTACGGAAAGAAGTTATCTCAGGCGAACTTAGCAGGCGGATCAAATCAATGGACACAGTCCCTATAGAGGACCTGGAGCAGATCGTCGACAGTATTACTACTCTCTCTCTCAGCGACGTCCTGGGCGCGATTCAAGACCCAGAGAAGCTGGGTGAACGAGTACAGCACGCGACAAGGCAGTTGAACATCCCTAGGTCGTCATCGACCAAGCCACCCTCGACTTCAGCGTCCCAAGACTCCCGCCAGGCTGACGCTCTGAACGCACCTGCATCTGCACCGGACCACCCATCGACACCTATCTCTATGCCTGCTTCCCTCTCTACACCGCCAAGGACAGAATCGCCCTCTGGCTCTGTGCCTCCTACTTCTGAGAAGGACCGCATGGCTGCTGCCGTCGCGAAGCTGGAGTCCTCGCAAGTGGCTGAACTAACAGAGCTCCTCATGAGTCTACCGAAACGCGAGCGCGCTATGTGTCTGTTCAATGCCGAAGTTCTTCGTGCCAAGATCGCCGACGCGAAGATGGTACTTGAAAGCGATGACGGCGAAGAACCCGCTAAGCCGGAGCCTGCAACACCTGCGACGCCTCAGGCGAAGCGTATTGCACCCTCCACTGAGACCTCGCCGCAAACGCCCGAATTGTCGTCCCGTGGCGCATCAGCTGCAGCTTCGCCTGCGCCCGCGACACCAAGCGTGGCGACGACAATATATACAACCGCGAGCCTGGCCCGGATGCCTGCAGTCGAGATTGTCAGACTTGTGAATGCCCCGCCCGCGGACTTCCCGCTGCGGAAGCCAGATCCGCTTGTAGCGAAGGCGACAGATGAATTCATCGATAGCCTACGAGATAAGCCTATTCAATCTCAGAAGCAGGCGCTCGGTGACAAGCTGTAAGCGTTCAGCGTTCAACAGGTCTAGATTTATTTTACTGATATCCTGCGTAGATGGCGTGTTGTCAAGGCATTCGGTGTCAAGGGAGCTGTGAGTACACACGGCGTAGTCTTCCTTGATTGAATTGCTGATCCCGTTCCTTAGCCTAAAGTGACGATCGCCCTACTCGACCAAGAAGAGCTTCGCGCTCTCGCGCATTTAATGCACAGCTATCCCCAAGTGCTCAAGGAAAAGGTGATTTTGATACAAGCTGCCGCTGCCGCCAAGTAATATGCACTCGCGGAACGCCAGACTTCGTGTATCCTCCACTTCTCTACATCCATCTAATTTGTCCAGTCTTGTCCCTCGTCGTCCTCCATTTTCCTCGGTCTCAGAGTCATTCAGAAAGAATGAGTCGTTCAGCACAGCTCTCGCTTCCTGCCCCTTCTTTTGCACACTATCTCACTCTTTCTTCCACGATTACTCCATGGTTCCAGTCCTCTTTTTTCACCATACAACTACGGCTATCGCGTTGGAGGATACAGTCTTTATTTTTCTGCTCCACAGTTTTCGTCGGTTGCACACCTCAACGCTTTGCACTCATTTTTAACGACCCTTCATGACAAATCTTGCCATACGGTTCAATACCAGAGCTAATGCTTTGTAGACGAGGGAGGTTCCTTATAGTACACCGCTGCCGTTTATTAGTTCCCCACGTAGCATGCTACAACTCGGTTGTTCCTTCAATGCCAGTTTCTTGTTCTTCTGCCCTTGTAAGCTCGCGCAGCTTTCTTTATGGTGTCATCGTCTAGTCATTACTCTGCTTGATATGCTGAGTCCCCCACGGCACGGGCTCTGAGCAATGATGTGCCTCAGCCGGGTGCGCGCTTAAAAAATCGAACGATTCGACGAGATCACTCGAAAGGTCCCACCTTTAAAGTGTGCGAAGCTGCGTGATCCTCGTCCAAGCCCCTCTCCCTTTTTCCCTTTACCTACCTTGTGAGTGTTTAGCTTAGGGTTTCACTTCTTTACGATGCAAAATTTTATCTGCAAATACCTTCGACGTGCTTCGGCACAGTGGGTTGGACTTCCCTCGGGATCCATTCAAGTCTCTGAGCCTTTTTCTTTCTTCCGATGCGCCAGCGTATCAACGTGTTTATTAATCACCCTTGTCCCCAGCATCCGCTCGACTCTTACAATGGCTCCTGTTGCTACAGAAAAGAAGGTCGTAACCGAGGATGGTCGTCAGCAGGGCAGGATGGAGGCCTACACCAAGTTCTGGCAGAGCGACGTGAGCAAGGAGAAGGACGTGGATACCGGCAATCGTCTGAACAGCTACACCGAGGTCGTCAATGGTGCGCATTTGCACTCTGTCTTTTGCCTCTCGAGCGCATCGTGACCATGTGTGGCAGGCTACTATGATGCCGCGACGCTCCTCTACGAGTATGCGTGGGCGGGCTCATTCCACTTCTCACGCTTCTACAAGGGCGAGTCTTTCGCAGCCTCGCTTGCCCGCCACGAACACTACCTTGCGGCGCAGATGCAACTCAAGCCTGGCATGCGCGTGCTCGACGTTGGCTGCGGTGTTGGCGGACCGGCACGTGAGATTGCGCGGTTCGCGGACGTGAACATTGTCGGCCTCAACAACAACGACTACCAGATCTCGCGTGCGCGCAAGCACACCAAGTACGCGAATCTTGAGGACCAGATCACCTTCGTTAAGGGCGATTTTATGAAGCTCTCCGAGCAATTCGGCGAAAACTCATTTGATGCTGGTACGTTCTCTGGTGAAACCCTGGTTTCATTATCTTAAACGTTGCCTGTGCAGTTTACGCTATCGAGGCAACCGTCCACGCACCGACGTGGGAGGGTGTCTACTCGGAGATCAAGAAGGTCCTCAAGCCTGGAGGGATTTTCGGTGTCTACGAGTGGTGCATGACCGACAAGTGGGACCCGTCGATCCCCGAGCACAAGCACCTCGCGCATCAGCTTGAGATCGGCAACGGCATCCCTGAGATGCGGCCCATCGGTAAAGCCCGCCAGGCGTTGAAGACGGTCGGCTTCGAGATCCTGCACGAGGAAGACCTCGCCGAACGGCCGGACGAGGTTTCATGGTACTACCCCCTCGAGGGTGACGTGTTCAAGGCGCAGACCCTCTGGGACGTCTTCACCTGCTGGCGGACAAGCTCGAGCGGCAAGTTTGTCTCGCATCACGGCCTCAGGCTCCTTGAGTTCTGCGGTGTCGTGCCCAAGGGTACATGGGACGTCTGTGAGACCCTCAAAATCGCTGGCGACGCGCTGGTTACGACTGGCCAGCAGAAGGTGCGTTCGAACGCGTGGCCCACTGGCACAGTGTTAATGGTGTTTTCATTTACAGATCTTTACACCCATGTACCTGGTCGTTAGTAAAAAGCCATTAGATGCTTGAGCTACTGCACTGCATCTCTGGACTGTCTACTCTGATTTCGGGATTATACTCTAGAATATAGATACCCTTATAATATACATTGATTTAGACAATTTACAATGCATCTATCGCAGCCGCGCCTCTTGTTCGTGTATGACGTGACGGGGAATGGCGATCTCGTTGCCAGCTGCCTGGTGGAATGTGTTATCGTCGGTGTGTACGGGGCGACACTAATATCTCAAGCACACTATCTGACTTATAAAATTTGAGTAGGTTTGCTTCGACATCGTCCGATCTGTTAGATCACGATCATGCCCCCACTGAAGTTATCTCACCTCACTTTGATCTGCAGTCGAATTCCCCGGCCCCGGCCGATGAAACGTATTCGAACCCGTTATGGAACCGCAGCCCAAGCGAAGCTGTCGCACACGCATTCCCAGAAGTCCAAACGTTCGATCTTGACGGCGGTGCGTTTTACCTTTAAATATTTTGCTCTGGCTCAGTTTTCTCATCTGCTCGACTTCACCGTCATCTGAGGCGCAAGGTCCACCATCCGGTCCGCAGCCTAGACATGGGCGATGTCTCTGCGATACCCGTCGATTTATGAGGCCCTGATGATGGGCCATGTGTACGACTGAGCCGGCGCTGGCCCTGATGCGCTGGAATATCGTATCTGCTTGTTCGGACCCCGTGGCCCAGGGGCAGGGTTGATGATCTCCAGAGGCACGCCAGGAAGCTGCCTTACACATATATATATATACTAGAGTACTTGACCCCCTTCCCCCTTCTCTTCCTCCAGCCATGACGTCCACTGTCCCAACGCCCCCGTCGATCCCGTTCTTGGGCCATGTAGCCTCTATCGAACGAGAGGTCCCTCTCCGCTCTTTCCGCCTGCTAAGTGAGCAGTATGGGGAAATTTACGAGCTGAATATCCTTGGTGGGTCACGCGTACATATCAAGCCGTAGCTTCGGTTGCAATGCTTAATGGCCGCAGGGAGGAAGATGTTCGTCGTTAGCACAGCCAAGCTGATGAACGACGTCTCTGATGACAAAAAGTTCTTCAAGAATATAAACGGGCCGTTATTCCTGGTCCGAAACGCAGTCGGAGATGGCTTGTTTACCGTGAGTGCTGTGCATATCGTACCGTGTGTGATTTCGCTGACATCCGTGGGTTCAGGCGTACAATGAAGAGCCCAATTGGAGCCTTGCCCGTGAGTCTTGCGGTGCGATATCTTGATGTTGGTCACCTAAGGAGCTGTCCAGACCGTCTCCTCATGCCTGCCTTTGGCACGGCATCGATCCGCGGCATGTTCCCGGACATGGTGGACATAGCCTCGCAGCTGGTCCTCAAATGGGACAGGTGGGCTTTGTTCCGTATCCATTCAATTGCAAATACTCAACTCTACGGTCAGATTTGGCCCCAAGCATCGGATCGATCCCGCGGAGGACTTTACGCGTCTGACCTTTGACACCATAGCGCTATGTGCGATGTCGTACCGGCAAGTACTTCTCCGTAAGCAAGTTGACGGGACAACTAGTATTGACCGCATCAATCAACAGGCTGAATTCATTCTACCGCGAGAGCAGTCATTCCTTCATTCAGTCCATGGGCGACTTCCTCGTAGAGTGTAACCTGCGCGCGAACCGACCAGGACTCCTCACGTCCGTGATGATGCAGACAAACGCCAAATACGACTCAGACATCAAGACTTTGACAGGGCTCGCAGATGAAAGTCTGTCGCTATCACGTCCTTGATCTTGTTGCCCTTGCTAACTGTATCGTAGTCATCGCCGAGAGGAGACGAAATCCGACAGACAAAAAGGATCTCCTAAACATCATGCTGTACTCGAAAGATCCAAAAACTGGAGAGATGTTGTCAGACTTGAATATTCGGAATAACGTAATGCACCTTCCGCTCCCTCATACGATGTCATATCTGCTAACTAAGATTGACAATAGCTACTGACATTCTTGATCGCTGGTACGCACAAGTCTCGCGACTGAAGGGATATTCTTGACCGCGACTTTAAGGGCATGAGACTACCTCGGGACTGCTAACATTCGCCCTTTATCACCTCATCAAAAACCCAGAGGCTATGCGAAAAGCTTATGAAGAGGTTGATAATGTCCTTGGCGACCGACAGATACAGTTTCCCGATATCGGTAAACTGAAGTACATCGACGGTAAGACTTGTGATTGCTGTGCCTAGAAAGTAATCTAATGGGCCAATCAGCTGTCCTCCGCGAGACTATGCGTCTCACCCCGAGCACGCCTATGCGGACTATCCGACCTTTCGAGGACATTACTATTGGTGGTGGAAAATACTTCGTTTCGAAGGATCACACTGTGGTCATCAACACGATCGTTGCACAACGTGACCCTACTGTGTGGGGCGAAGATGTAAGTTTTCGGCTGTCAGACATGGGAGACCTCTTTAATCATAATCCACTAGTCAAACGAGTTCCATCCTGAGCGCATGTTGGATGGCAAGTTCGAAGCTCTCCCGGTAAGCACCTTTGGCTTTTGAATAAGCCATACCATATGAACCTCGTTCTCCAGCCCAACGCTTGGCAGCCCTTTGGTTTCGGCATGCGCGCCTGCATTGGTCGTCCGTTCGCCTGGCAGGAAGTTCTCATCGTTTTCGCGATCCTTCTGCAAAAATTTGACTTTGTCCTTGATGACCCCTCATACGAGCTCGAGCTCAAGCAGTCTCTAACTATCAAGCCTGCGCATTTTTACGTCCATGCACTCCCGCGTCAGGGCGAACCGCACCCACTCGCCACTCCGTCCGCCGCGACCTTCAGCTTACACGCGCAGGAGGCGAGCAAGGCAAGCTTACCCGTGTCTCCCGGCGCTGAGGCGAAGCAGCCGATGTACGTTCTATACGGGTCGAACACCGGAACATCGGAGAGCTTCGCTCAGCATATTGCTAACGATGCCGCCATGCATGGTATGTAGCCACCCCTTCCTGTTGTCGAGACCATCAGTTGACCAGTTTCTGCCAGGCTTTCGTGCAACGCTCGGCACTCTCGACTCTGTTGCCGACCACCTACCCACCGACGGGCCTATAGTCATTGTATGCGCGTCCTTTGAGGGCGAACCCGCCGACAATGCCGCACACTTTGTCGAGCGGCTCACGAGCCTACAGGGCCAGCCCCTGCAGAATCTGCGTTATGCAGTGTTTGGGTGTGGCCATCGCGACTGGTTCCGCACGTACCAGCGCATCCCGAAGCTGGTCGACCAGACTCTAGAGGACCGCGGTGCACAACGGCTCACGACGCGTGGAGAGGGCGATGCTGGGAGCTCGGAGTTCTTCGAGGCGTTCGAGGCGTGGGAGGCTAAGCTCTGGGAGATTCTGCCCGAGGTGAAATCTCTACCTCATCCCGGTTACCGATAGGAACTCACATGGTTTACAAGGAATACAACACGGCGGTGAAGCAAGACGCCACTACAGGGCTGAAGGTCGAGATAGTCGGCGATTCCACCGCGCGAGCCGCTGATCTACGACAACATGACGCTGCGTTGGGCACAGTCGTCGAGAATCGGATTTTGACTGCGCCAGGCGTTCCGGAGAAGAGACACATTGGTAGGCTCGTGCTCTCTTTGTTCCCAGTGGAAAACTGATACATGTCCACAGAATTCGAGCTCCCGGCAGGAATGTCTAGTCGCGCTGGTGATTATTTGGCCATGTGAGTCTGCGTCTGTTTCATGCTGTGTGGCTACTCAACACTTGTTTCCAGTCTGCCATCCAATCCGCCTCGAGACGTTCGTCGAGTGCTTGCTCGTTTCGGCATGCTTCCTGAGCAACAAGTTCGTCACATCCGATACCTACTACATCTTATCTTGCTCACGTTTCCGTTCTCGCAGGTCGTGCTCTCCTCTTCTGGGCCTACGTCTCTTCCCGTTGGAAGGCCTATCTCCGCACTTGATCTTCTCTCGGGATACGTCGAACTATCGCAGCCGGCCACGGCTCGCGATGTTCGTGCTCTTCTGAACTGCGAAGGCTCGGACGGCACCAAGCAATCTCTGCAGGTGTTACTGGAGTCCTATAGCGACGAGGTCCTTCGTCGCAGACTCAGCGTATTGGATCTCCTCGAGCAATACCCCGACATTAAGCTGCTATTCGCTGCGTACCTCGTACTCCTTCCATCGATGCGTATCCGCCAATACTCTATCTCCTCGTCTCCTCTCTGGAACGCGCAGCGTGTCACCCTCACAGTCAGCGTGCTTGATGCACCCGCGATATCGGGACGTAAGAAGCCCTTTCTTGGTGTCGCGTCGACCTATCTCGCCAACCTGAGCCCCGGTGACAGAGTACAGATGGCCGTGCGTGGGTCAAACACGGCGTTCCACCTTCCGCAGGACCCGCGGATGCCGCTCGTGCTGTTTGCCGCGGGCTCGGGTCTCGCTCCAATGCGCGGCTTTCTGCAGGAGCGTGCTCTGCAGAAGAAGGCAGGCCGTGAGGTCGGGAGGGCGGTGCTATTCTTTGGATGCCGCAGCCCCGATGAAGACTATTTGTACTCGGACTCGGACTTGAAGGAGTGGGAAGAGCTTGGTGTGGTCGAGTTGCGTCCTGCCTTCTCGCGTACGCCCGAGAAGTCGGAAGGATGCAAATATGTTCAAGAGTATGCTTTCATGTGGTTGTCTCCATGCGATCTCTTACTAAGTGTATGATTTTACAGTCGTGTCTGGCACGATCGTCGGGCACTTGACGGCCTTTACGAAGCAGGAGCGAAGGTGAGCGGCCGCGCTGTCTCGGTGCCTATGCTGAGTACTGAAGACGTCTTGCAGTGGTTCGTCTGTGGCTCTGGCAAGGTTTCAAGCGGCGTGAAGGTCGTTCTGACAGCCATGATCAAAGAATCGAGAGGTTACGATGATAAAGAGGCCGCTGGAGCTTTCGAACGTGCCACAGTCGGCCGGTTTGCCACCGATATATTCGAATAAAGTGGCACTTCCTCGGCTACCTAGATAAAAATCCCACCTCGTATATGGAGTGTAGAGAGACCTATTGCTGAAGGAGTATGACTCGGAATTCTTGTCCATATTCAGGGCCGATTTGTGCAAGCGGCTGTATTGTAGTATTCTGTCGCTAATATGGCGGCCAATGTTACCTGCCCGGTTGCATCTGACTCTCTACGACTTCCGTAGAAGAGCTGAGGATGCGGCGTCGGGGTCGACGTTCGGAACAAAATATTCAGATCCAGATCTGAGCACGGCGTACTATTAGCCTGGCAGCAGTTGCGGAACATCCGAAGCAAGAGCCGGGGCCGCGGGCCGGTTACATACTGTGCGCTTCGCACCCTTTACAACTACTTGCTTCTGTCCTGCTGCTGATTCCTTGGGATAAAGCCTCAAATTGCCACCCGACACATCAGACTATGTCCTCCAAGCAAGCTGGTCTTTTCCCTTGCAATCCCGCGACCACTCGCGGGGAATCGACGAGAATCAGCTCCGACAAGGACAAGATTGTGTACACTAATGGAAGGACGGTCATTGTACGTGCCATTACACGACTATCCCATCGAAGTATTGGTTAATTGTCTGATAGATTCGTGACTTGAAGGTCTGATCTGCAATGGGTCTCGTATGGTCTGAAGCGGGACTGAACACCGTGTCGTTATCGATCCCAGAACCCATCCGCAGTCATATCATACGCTGGGCATGTACAGAACGCAACAGTTGCGAGGATCTCGCCCACAGGATACTACTGTGCCTCCGGTGACGCAGGCGGAACAGGTGCATATCCTATCATCCCAAGAGCACGCACAGAACTTATTCCCCTCGATTATCAGTAAAAATCTGGGATCTCGTAGGCGAGGATCGGTCGCTGAAGGGGGAGTATAAGATAATTGCGGGGCGCGTGTAAGTATAGCGATGTCTTCTTACGTGCCAGGCTCTGACAGATATTTCTAGCAAAGACCTTGAATGGGATGGGGAGAGCAAGCGCATCATCGCGGTCGGAGAGGGCAGAGAGAAGTGAAGACTGTTATGCAGAGCTGACTAACACTGCCTTACTGATTATTTACAAGGTACGGTCATGCATTTATGTTTGACACTGGAAGCTCGACAGGATCTATCATTGGCCACTCGAAGGTAAGTCAATGCTCTCACATACCTAACAGGACACTGCTAATGGTCGTGGATTTCAGACTGTCAACGCTGTTTCTATTCGTCAGCAGAGACCATACCGTGCAGCCACAGCCGGCGACGACTGTAACATTGTATTCCACTCGGGCACACCTTACAAGTATGAGAAGGTTGTTACACTTTCGTGAAGTCAAATGATCACAAGAACTGAGCTTATCATCGTGTAGACGATCAAGACACATACAAAGTTCATCCAAGATCTCCGCTATGCTCCATCCGGCGACCACTTTGCCAGTGTCGGCATGGACATGAAGATATTCCTCTATGACGGCAAGGAGGGTGAGACCATCGCTGAACTCACTGACGGCCCCCACACCGGTTCTATCGTACGCATTATGCATTACGTAGACGTTATTGTACTGAGTGCATTCCCTTTCAGATGGCCCTTAGTTGGAGCTCCGACAGCAAGGAGTTCGTGACATCTTCCGCAGACCGCACAGTCAAGCTCTGTAAGTTTATTTGCGTCATACAGTCACAACTCTAATCCCATGCTAGGGGATGTTGAGACCCGCAAGGCCGTGTCGACATGGAACCTTGGGAAGGCCGTCGAGCAACAGCAAGTCGGAAATGCCTGGACGGAAGACAGCATCATTGTGTCCCTCTCGTTGTCAGGAGATCTTAATATCTTCGATAAACGTGCGGGAGACAAGCCTTCGCGCGTTCTCCATGTATGTCTGCCCGGATTTAATAAAGCTATTAAGCCTCATAGTCTCATGGATAGGCCCCCTCGAAGGCCATCACGGCCCTCGCCCCTACGTCCAACTCAGGCACATTCGTCGCAGGCCTCGCGGATGGCCGAGTGCTCTCGTTCGATGGCGCTGACTATAAGGATGCTGAGGGACCTGGTCATAAGAATCTCGTGGCTGGCGCGGTGTCACTGCCAGATGGCAAGGTCGTCACTGTTGGCTACGACGACCAAGTCCGCGAGCTTGAGGGCGCCGGTTTCACGTACGTTTTCCCAACCATAATTGTAAAAATCGCTAGCTGACACTCGCATAGCCAAGCTTCTTCTCCCACCGCCTCGCAGCCAAAGTCTGTGGCTGTTGCGGCCGACTCCACATTATTCGTAGTGGAAATTGGCGTTGTCGAGGCCATCCGGTCGAACCAGAAAGTGCACGAGCTGAAACCGAAATATGTACCAAGCGCTGTTGCCGCATACGGCTCAGCCGTCGCAATTGGCTCGGAGGTCCGTGGCGTGGAAAAAGTGGATGAATTGCAACTGATTGTTTGTGCAGGAGCACAAGGTCTACTTGTATGATTGGGATGGCAAGACTCTGACCGAAACCGCTGTTCTAGAGGGCAATAGGGGTGCTGTCAGCGCCCTGGCGTTTTCAGCCGATGGTACCCAGCTCGCTTCCGGGGATGTAAGTCCGATATAGCTCTATATCCTGAATGACCCTCACAGGAGTATCAATCGCAGTCTGGCGGAAAGATCGCCCTGTTCGACGCGAAGGAGAAGAAGGTAACGCTGAATCTCGCCAATTTTGCCTTGCAATTGAATGAAGACTCTTAGTTCATCACGTCGAGATGGTCTTTCCACAGCGGACGCATACTCTCACTGGCTTGGACGTCCGATGGCAAACACTGCGCATCTGGCTCGCTCGACACGCATGCATATGTGTACAGTGTCGCGAAGCCCGGAAACGCGATCGCTATCAAGAACGCACACGCGGGCAGTGTCAATTCGGTCTTCTGGATTGGGGACAAGAAGCTGGCGAGCGCGGGCGCGGATGGCTGTGTCAGAACTTGGGAAATTACCTTCTTCTCTTAGACTTAAGACAGTGGACCCAATGTATAATAAAGGCCAGGGAGATATATCATCTGTACTAACTACTCCTCTCAATGTGTATACCTGAAGCGATATCACTCAAGCACACTACCATGAAGGGTTCCTAGATCCAAGTCGCATGCGGTATCATTGCGTGGATTTTCTTTTACAAAATACAGTGGGGCATTGATAACTCGTACCTAATGTTGAGACGCGTACAAAAGACAGCGTATGTGATCAAACAGAGCAAATGAACCGAGAACGAGAGGCGAAAGCAGCGAGTCCCGCAAGGGGTGGCTGGGTTTTGGCAGAAATACATAGCACCAGGGAGATAGGGGGAAGAACAGACGAATTATCAATTTCCGCAAGCCACCCTCCGCAGATAACAGCATCACAGCGGCCTCCGTCGACGCAGCTACCGCGCCTCTCCTCCCATGAGGAACCAGCACCGAGCACCCAGCGCTCAGTTGAGGTCCTCCAGCGCCGGAGGCTCGTCGTCGTCATCGCCCTTGTTCTCCTCGACATTCTCGAAGTTCTCGACGAGGTCGGGGACGTCGTCGTCGTCGTCGTCGTCAGCACCGCCCGATGGCCTCTGCTGGCTCTGCTGGATGGCCTGGTAGGACTCGGCGAGCTTGCGGAGCGAGGCAAGCGAGTCGGGACCGAGCTGGTTGAGGATACCCGGGACGAGCTCGGTGAGCTCCTTGACTTGGCCAGCGCCGTAGATAGCGAAGGTGTTGGCGGAGACGGCAGCGTGGACTATAGATTTGGGAAGCAGTCAGTTGTATGCGCGACTGTACGACATCAATTAGGTATCGCTCCATCCCAGAGCACTCCGATCGTGCATCAGGTACACGCAAAGTCCCAAAAACAATGAGTACTAAATGATTATCGTGAGACACACCTTTGGGCGTAGAGAAGTGCAGGACATTGCCATCCTCTCTGAACATGTTAACCTCCTCCACACCAGGGATGGGCTGGACGTTCAGCTTCTTGAGGGCACCCTGCAGTTTCTTGTCGTCCTGGGCACCAGATGTCTTTGTTTTTCGGACGACCTTTCGGCGCACGGTACCCTTTCCACCTATTCAAGCGCACGGCACACGCAAGGCAAACAAGCGAACGGAGAAATAGACATTTGCTCAGATTTTCTCGCCCAATCTTGCGCAGGAGACGCGATTCAAGCTCACCGATCCTGTTGGCCGCAGCCTGCGCCTGCAGCTTAGCCAGTTTCGCGGGGTCCATCGTATTGTTTGCTGAGGATCGGGACTAACGACGGGCGGATGGAATTTTGGTGGACTTGGTCGTGAAAGCGAGAATAAGGTTCATGAGTAAACATGACCACACAAAGCCTCTTCTCAGGCGCTTATCTCATCAAACGCCCACCTACGAGTCATTATAAGCGATTAGCATGCGGCAAGCTCTTCCTCACTCTTTTTCTGCTCTTCGTCTCTTCAGACATGTCTCAAAAGTCATTCTTTATTCGTCCGGCCGTTGCTGAGGATGTGGTATGTAGATCATAATTTATATCGCGCTCTTGAGCATGTCCCTTTCCTCACAGCCCTCTAGGATGCCATCTTAAAGTTAATCGTGGATCTTGTATGAATTCTGGTCTCAATGCCTTACAAATGCTTTAATAACACGTCTTTCTACTAGGCGACCTACGAGAAGGCCGCCGATCAGGTGAAAGCGACATCTGAGCTCGTGAGATGCCACTCTAGGTATCATGCACTACGGTTTTGACGCTGTAAATCGCCGCGTAGCTGAGAAAGAACCTCTTCGAGTCACCGTACGCTCACACCTTGCTCGCCTTCACCGGTTCCCGCGAGGCATCTGGCGAAGTCATTGGGTTGGCCATGTACTTCCACAATTTCTCCACATGGACCGGCAAGCCAGGCATCTACGTATGTGCAGATCATTGATCGCCCGACGATCTGCAGGCTTCCTGTCGCGTGAATACGCTGATTAACTTGGAATAGCTCGAAGATCTCTTTGTTTCTCCGGAGTACAGAAACTATGGAGTTGGCAAGGCCTTCTTCGCTGAGCTTGCTAAAGTAGCTGAGGAGAAGGTAAGCGAGACAAGGACACAGTAACATAGAGCACTCACCATTTGCCGTTCGCTGTTAGGACTGTGCACGCCTCGACTGGTCAGTGCTAAACGTGAGTACGCTGCTAATATGAATGTGGCGTGCTGATCGACTCTACTGGCTCCGTAGTGGAACCAGCCATCCATCGACTTCTACGAGAAGAAGCTCGGTGCATCGGCGATGTCTGAGTGGATGGGAATGAGATTAGAAGGCGAAGGCATCGCGAACTTGAAGAAGTTTGCCCCGCAGTAAATGTAGGCGATGTCAGCCCAGCTTACGCAGGTAGCGATCAACCTGCGTAGCGTCCGGCGGTGGAAGCGGCGTCTACAAGCACTGATATATGCGACGCTGCATTAATTCCTATATTCGTGAGCTGTAAAGTGGTATCGCACTCCGTCCGCAAGAAGGAATTCAAGGGACCTGAAAGCGATGTGTGCAAAGCGATACAAAGCGATATTAGGGTAAATAAGTTAAACGCCGTCGTAGCTCGCGCCACCCGCCTAGGCAGACGACGTAAGTCTGCTGTCCGCGTCACATGTATACGCGGCGACGCACCTTGCGAAGTTTAACGATGATTGGTTCTTCCTTAAGATCGTCTTTCTCGCGAGCGGGCACCTCGACAGAGAATACGCGGAGAATGGTCTTTACATCCGCTACATGCACAGAGATCTGCATGCTAATCGTGAGCGCATAGATCACCAACACCACGTCAATAGCACGTACCTTTGCTTTACGCATGATCTTGCACGACATGCCGATCCAGACGACAAGGATGAACTTCTCACGCTGCGACTCCTTGTCGTTAGAGTATCGCATCCTCACATATGCGAAGGACGCCTTGTCCCCTTGGAGGCGTTCACGGAGCTCGTCAAGACCACCCGTTCCTGTGGCTGTGACCTGTAGTTTATCGGAGCGATCGGACTACAAGAGATATATACTGTAATTCACATCAATGCATACAGAAACAGCGGAGAGCTGGCTCACCTCGTAGTCCAGCAAAAGCCAGCTCGTTTCCGTCTTGTCCGAACGGACATCCTGGTAAGCTGTACCCATGGACGTGTCAGGACAGCGTGACGAGGCTACTAAGGATAGCGGCGCACCCTGATCAATTTCGGGGTCGGATACATCGGCCATCGAGAACGGGGGGCGGTGTGTACACGAAAGGCAGAGGAAATGAGGCTCGCGTGTACAGTCTATGGTTTCTATGAAGTAGTAATAATGCCAGGTACGATGGAAACGGCTACTATTGAATGGGCGTCTCATAGTAAGTAGCGCCGTGTTCCCACGCTTACAGTACGTTTGGGATCTTGTTACATACTCAGCGTACGCCCACCTTTCTCTCTTACATCCTCCAGATGCTCGCTTTCAGATCCCTAGCTTCGCCAGTGCCAGCCTCAAGATTTGCAGCCAACTCGTTCACTGCTCTCTATTCCACCGTCTCCGGGCTTGCGCGTCGAAATTGGGACGTGTCAGGTCCTGCTCCGACCTCGTTTCTCGAAACCGAAGAGACGGAAGAACGTGTCAGAGATCTCTCCAAGCTGAGTCGTAGTGCCAGATTAAGGCGGCAGACCCCTGAAGAACCCACACCACACGAGTTTAAGGCGCATAGCAAGACCATGAAAAAACACTTCCCCGAGGGCTGGTCACCTCCGCGGAAGCTATCGCGAGAAGCCATGGACGGTCTTCGATCGCTACACGCGCACGACCCGGAGATCTTCAGCACGCCATTGCTTGCAGAGAAATTCAAAATAAGTCCTGAAGCTGTGCGGCGTATTCTTCGCAGCAAGTGGACGCCCAGTCCCGAGCAGAGACAGAAGATGATACTACGGGAGAGAAAGGCACGAGAGGAGTGGATAATGGCCCAACGCATGGCAGAGAGGAGGAAACAACTAGAATTGGAAAGGAAAATCTCTGTCAAGAGAGCGAAAGACGAACTTTCCTTATGGTGATGCACTGCGACAAAATTATCGCCGGACACGGCAGAATAGCTTCTCTAGGAAAAACATCTTACAGGTATGTGCCTTGTTCTGCATTATGAGAGGTTTTACTAACATTGTCGTGTGTTAGATCTATCATCCCTTCCCTTCGCATTCACATTTGAATGGACTACATTATGCTACACTCGATAAATAATCATATATATGTGTGTATAACACTGGCATTCTGGGATATACCGTAAGCCTCAGGTCCAGTGTCCACGCGTATTTGTAGAAATAAAGATACAAGTCCGTTCGTCCGTGTATGACACTCCCACGTCAATATTTGTGGTAGCCAAGACGTACATAACACGACCCCGGAGGAGGCTTGCAAGTGAGGTGATCGTTCCAATTCGGTTGGGGAACGTTTCTGAGCGGCCCTTGGGCCTGGTCGACCAGGCTCAAATCGAAACTCAGCAAGAGTATCGTAAGCATGACCTTCATCTGCAATTTGGCAAGCCTTTGCCCAAGGCAGACGGTTTTTCCTGTTTTGCACAAGTAAGTGAGCTAAAGAATGGATCGACCGATCGACAAGTGTCCGCGGACCGACGCTCACCTCCGCCCCAGCCGATGTAGTCAACCTGCGCGTCGCTCTTCGATCGGCCAGGATCGAAACGCCACGGGTCTGGGTATAGCTGTGGGTTGAGGTGCACGTCGCTGAATGGGTAGACAACGTAGGCCCCCGAAGGAATGCGCACGCCGGCGACGTATGTCTCCGGCCCCACATTCCGCCGCATCGCGGTGTGAGGCTGCGCGACGCGGAGTGCCTCACGGATAACCGCGTCCATGACAGGCGTGCATTGCTCGAAGGCCTCCAGGGGGACGGTCGCCAGCTGCTCCGCGAGGTTCTGTGTGCCGGTGGCAGTGGTCGTCGCGTGCACCGCCAGCAGCGCGTGGGCCTCGTCTTGGGCCCGGAGGCGCCACTCGGGGAGCCCGGCGAGATATGTCACAATCCATGAGGCTGTCGACGCAGGAAATGTCAGCATGAGCAGATCGCTGAGAGTTCCATAAGACCTTACCCGTGGTGCCCGTTGAGCGTGCCCCGGCAACGAGGAGCCCCATGATGAACTGTGAGAATTTATCAGCCATGCGGCATGCTGGCAACGCGAGCGGTCTGAATTACCCCCACGATAACCATCTTCTCGTCCCCGTGGTCAACGAGCATTTGTAGGGTGTCATCTCTTGATATCCCACTGGCAACCCTGGCCCTAATAGCCCCGTCAATAATGTCGTAAACCTTCTTCGACGATCGAAGCTTCGCGAGCATGCTCAGGCTCGGCAGCCATGGCAGCAGCACACTGAACGGCGTCGTCGAGTCGTCGAGAGCATCGTACAGCTTCCTGAGCCGCTCGACTGTCACCGGGTCGTCTGCGAGTTCGTGACTGGAGAGGGACCGCACGGTGGTTTGGAATAGTAACTAATAAGCGTGCGGCGCGTAAGACCGAGGCCGTCGCTCAAGGAAGCCAGAGAAGCGACCTACCGCCGGGATATGTGCGAACGGATCGATCACTGACCCTGCGCTTCCCCAGGAACGCGTAACGCGACAGATGTCTTGCAGAATGTATGGAATGACTGCTCGGTGTTAGTGCCTGCATGGTCGCCGCTGTGATACGTGACGAGGGATACTCACGTCGCTGGAGATGGTCGCTACTCTGAGCGGCGGCGAGCCTTCGGTGAATGAGGCTAATTCGGCGCGCCTGCAGGTCAGAGGTCACACCGGGGAGCATTGGGATCTTCGCTCGGCAGATTGGGAAGAAAGCACGTTAGTCAAATTCGGGCGGTTCCGATTAACCTCTCGCACTGAATGGACTCACGGCGCCGGAAAGAACCTTGAAGCCTTCGTGAATGTCAAGCCCTTTGCACGCGAAGAAGTCCGCGCGGGCATACTCCTGTGAAACAACCACAACAGTGTTCTACCCGACGCGAATATCAGCCGAGAATCGCGACAGACGGTGCCGAAGAAGTCAACCCACCTGCAATAATTTGAAGCGAAAGAAGGGCTGACGTGTCAGCTCGAAGCCGCGCGCGAGGAAATCGTGTCGCGCGGTGAAAAATGGCCAGACGGTCTCCCAGATACTAAGGGGCAGAAAGGGTGGGCCATCGTCGTCTTGCTCTTGGCGAGCATTCGCCCAACAAGATAGCAACGCAAGGATAATTACACTTGGCAGTACGATGATGAGCTTGAGAGCTGCATCGTGTGCCGCGAGGGACTGAACCAGAGTGAGGACGCCAAGGGAATACATGATTCGCGGGGTGACGGAGAAAGTCCGAGAGCGACCCGATACTTATAGCCATTCTAGCGGCGGAGAGTCTATGAGCAAGACAAACCTATTTGTGGACAAGTTTGCACCCACCTCGATGGAGCATTTCGCCCGATGTTGCTCTCTGTTTCCGCGCGAGGGACACCAGGGTGCAATACGAGTGATCGTTGCAGACAGTGTCCATTCTGTACAGGTTATTTGCCATTTGAATGGCATGCTTCCGGGGGCCTAGACAAGAAGACAGTGGGACCCTGTCCTCATGGATCCATAGGAACGTTCTTGACGTCGCGGTGCCGTGCCGCCGGAACCGGGAACTAGAATGCAGATTATGGCCGTCGTCACTTATTCCGTGGCTTATCCATGGACTACACTGGTCACTTCAGGGAGCACTCCATGCTTGACTAAACCCACATGGTGCGGCACGCACCGTGGCCAGGAAATTGGTCGAGAGCGCAGGCGGGTTGCGGCACTCCACGTACTGCTCGGCATCCTCGGAGAGTAGTTACACATGCTCTCCCGATTTCTTCTGATCAGAGGCGCGGCCGTCCCTGGGGAAAATGGAGCGGAAAGAAGACGTTAAATTTTATAGCGCGGACATGGTTTGGCACACCCCTCTAATGGAATGTCGGGAACAAGCATCCGTTCGTTAAGAAATCTTGCATTGACCCTGGCGATGGAGGCCCCACTAGATCCTGAGCACTTCGTCACGAGGAAAGTTTTCTTTAGAGATTTAATGCATTTCCACATGGTCTAAGGTAAGCCTCTCCTGCTATATCCCGGTCGTCAGATTCTCGGCAGCGTAACAAAGCGAGAGACGTACCTGCCAATATAATTATCAACCCTCCGCCTCTAAAATGACACAGTCCGTCCAAATCTAGATCTATTATGCAGCGCAGAAGGGTTTTACGCCATGCCGGTAGTCGAACGCGGTCAGGATGCACTGATGGGTGGCAAGTGCAGCCAACACGACGTGGACATGGAAGATTTGATGCGACGAGAAGAAGTAATCAAAGCGACCGGGCGCAAACCGCTCAGGAACCCTGTTCGCGCTACAAAGCAGTCGTCAGTTGAGCGGCAGGAACGCATCGACGGAATCCCCAAAGGTCGACTCACTACAGCAGCGCGCCATTAATATAGAGCACACCGGAAGCGAAGAGCCAGCCGAAGCCCATCTCGTGGCATAACTTCATGAACCCATGCGTGACCATGCCTTGTGTTACCGGCACGATGCCGCACAATCCGAGGCCGATGAAGACCTTGGTACGCGCCCCGCGATGGGTCGGCTTGCGATATTCTGGGTTGAGTACAATGTATGCTGCGGCTGCGTGGGTGACGCGCTCAGATCGAACGTAAATATAACGTGACGATGCGCATGGAACTCACCGAGCCCGGCGCTTGATATCAGCAAGAGATATAGGATCTGGAAATGCCATTCACAGAAGAAGTTATAGTAGATGCAAGGAAGGGAGGATCCAACGATTAGGACTGTCATATCGCAAGCAGGTCAGCCGCGGTATTATGATGCGTAAGGCATATAGGGATATCCCTGATAACTGGGTGCGATGAGGCAGAGATTGAACGAGCGACTACGCTCGACTGGTCGTTGAGGAGCTACTCACCCACAATGCCTGCATAGTCCAGTGAATTACATCGTTCAGCCACCTGTGGTTCCGTAAGAGCTACTATCAGAACGTGGAATGTACAGGTGGACCCACGCCTCTAGAATGGACACCGAACGTGTGGTAAGAAGCACTGCCAAAGAGGCATAACACCGCGGATGCCAGAAAAATTGCAAATACGGCGGCGTCGACCCAAGTGGTCGTGTCGTATTGGGAGAGATAAGTCTGACGATAGGTGCCGAGGAGCCAGCAGAAGAGAAGCCCTCCGAATAGATGGCTGTGAATATTTACTGCGGTGAACGTGTGTGAGAATGTCAGTGGTGGAGGAGACGCGAATAAAGGACGCACTCACCCGTTTCGTTGTGGACATCTATCAGCGAAGGAAGAGGTCCCTGAGCGGTCAGCCCTGCTTCGTGCCAGGAAATTCGCAGAGGCGGAGCCTTTGCGCAAGGAGCACGGGGAAAGAGAGACACGCACATGCAAAAACGGAGATAGCGCATCCTCGGAAACTATGTTGTGTCCTAACAAATGGTGCATGTCAGCTGGGTTGTATGATGATACTGGCCATGGAGCTCGTCTAGATCGCGCCATGCGTCAAGATCGCCCACCTCCTGTATCCGGTGAGAATGTACTCGTTGTCCTTTTGCCATGCAGGGATCTCGTGCCACGTCAGGGTCACTGTGTCCGTGTGGGCTGGGTCGCGCTCTGGAGGGTCCTCGGACTTGTCGTTGGGGTCGGCGTGGATGCGGCTCTGGAAGTCTTCGAGGACGTTGCCTGGGACGTCTCTACCGTCGCCAACGGCGGCGGCGGTCCTCTGTCGTATCTGCTCTGACATGGTCGGTATTTGGCAATGATCGAGTAGATAGACAGTCGACGTCCACTGCACTTGGGAATCTGTTGGGGATTTGTCGGCTCCGCCATCCAACACCCTTGATCTTGCTTGCCTGATCCGGCACGATGAATCCCGCTTGTTAGCGTGTCACAGTCCGTGACGCCTTCCCAGTTAGGAAAGGTAAGTTCGAGTTCAACACCAGTACACGGAGGCTGTTAAAGCGCTGCTACGCCTTGGACGGAGAAAATTCGCGGGATGGAATGTGTCTAAGACATTTTTGAGACACTCAATAGGTTACTTAAGAGTCGAGACGCATGCATGGGTTGGTTAGAGGTTGGCATTGAACTTGTACATTAGAATTTCAAGTTGACTTCGATCCAAACAAAACGAGGGAGGTGAGATACGGCGGAAGATGTGGTGAAGCAGGAGAAGATTAGCATAGGAGAGATATAGGCCTGTATGCAAGGCGATGTGAGATAGCTGACACGTCGAACGCGGAGAAACGGCAGAGACATGTAGCCGGATGGCAGTAGCGGACATGATGTTCAAGTAACGCGGAGGAAGAGGGTATAGCAGCATAGCACTGAAGCATGCATAGCAAACGTCGCCACCTCGAGCTAAGGCTCCTCGGAGGGGTCGAAGAAAAAGTTGACTGCGGGGAGGGGCGGTACGCTCGACTCTCTCCAAGAGGCAAAGCGGCGTGACGCAGGGGATGGTGACTCAAAAGTGAAAGCAGAGTAAATGCGCTTGCGCTCGGGGGTATTAAACAGCGGAGGGCCATGGCTGTTTGGCACAGACAAGTGCTCCGTCTCTTCTGTATTGCTTTCGGTAATAGAGAGCTTAGCGGGAGCAACGTTCGTATTGGCAACCTAAACCATTTCAGACTTGAGCGTAGAGCTAGACATGGCAAAGTGACAAACGGACCTCATTAACTTCCGTTACTTTGATCTTCAGTGAGCTTTCGGGAGGGGAGCTCGTATCATAGGCGTGCGAGAGGTCCGCCAGGGGGAGGACAGTGAACTCGTAGCACTTCGCGTCGATTTCAGCCTGAGTGAGCTGGTTCTCGTTCAGACGACTGGGTTCAGCTCGCTTATCTTCGGCCTCCTCCTCAGCCTCGTCAACTCTGGGCAGGTTCGTGGCCTTGCGCACTCGAGGGATCCTTGACGGCTTCTTCGCATTCCCCGCCCGCTTCTCTTTCTTCTCCTTCTTCTCTTCTATCACGGAGCCAGCGGCGAGCTTACGCTTTTTCGTAGTGACGCTTCCGGAGAGCGGCTTGGTGTTCAAAGGGACAGGTTTACTCGCGAGAGCATTTGTCTTGCGCTTCTTGCCTGAATGTTCGCTTGACGATGGCCGTAACCCGGTGAGCGGGTCGAGGTTCTCCTTGTCATTCGCAGACGAAACGGTGATACGAGCGTTAGCATTGCGTGTGCCAAACGGAGTAGGCTTGTGCGCTGCCATAGTAGAGGAAGACTCGTCCTTGTAAACAACGAAGCTGGCGACTCGGCGCGGTTGCGTGGGCATGGGGGTATTAGTGTGATGTATGTCCAGAAGTTTGTGGAGGGTAGGAGGGAGCACCGGAAAGGTAGAGAGCGAGAGGGGTATCACTTGGGAGGGTCTTGCAACGTTGCGGGCGGAAGACGGGAAGGTCGAGTTCGAACAACCAGCCCAGATGAACTGTGTGACAAGGCTTGAACCGTGACACTAACACGCGCCGCTGTCACGCGTACGTGACGAGCCATATCACGTGTCCGCGGCGCAGAGGCAGCTGGCGATGAGAAACAAGATAAGGTCGAAAATGAAAACGAGAAATGGCTTGCTTTTATCACAGCAAGCTGCATTTTATATAATGTAATCGTAAGGAGTGACGCCCATCATCACCACGGCTCATGCAAGGCCGATGCAGCAATCAGGTACTCCTGCTATGTCTGCCCAAGTTGGTCAAAAAATAGAGTCATCATCTCATCTCATCTCAGTTTCTAATCCGCGCACTGCTTCCAGAGTACATTGCCCCTCGATGTTTTCTGACAGCCGGACTTCCAACGACAGACATTACCAAATCGAGTGATAGGTGTAAGAAGTTAAATCTCCGCCCGTATTACGCGCCCACACACGACACCACGGCTGCTTGAAAGCATACGTCCATCATCACCATCCTCCTCTGCTTTTCTCCCTCCTCTTACCTTCGACAACTATGGCGACACCTCGAGTAGACAGGTCCAAGAAGCCTTATAGCGTATGCTCAGCTCGCTTCGCCGCCTCTGAGCGTCCGCGCAAGCTCACCTGGTTCATTAGCGATCCGCGAACCGACCCCGAAGGTCAGATGGTGACTGGCTGCACGACAAGGCACCTGGCGTGGCGCCAGCCCGACAGAGCGCCCCGACAGCCTCAACCGCCGCTGATGCTTCCCCGAACACGAAGCTCCTCGTCTCAAACCTGCACTATGAGGTGACACCAAAAGACCTCACTGTGAGCCTCCATCGCACCTCGCCTTCTATGCCTCCCACGCTGATATGCATGGCCTCTGACGCCGCGTAGCAAGTCTTCGGTATCATAGGCACACTGGTTCGTGAGCCGTTAATTAGGGTACGATACTCCGAATGCACCGCCTCCACCTGAGAGAGACCGATTGCCGACGCGTCTCCTTTCGCTGTTCATTCTCACTTGCACGCATCACAAAGTACGACCGCAGCGGTCGCTCGACTGGCATCGCCATCATCTCGTACGAGACTGCCGCCGAGGCGAAGCAGGCATTGGCCCAGTACAATGGCAAGCTCTGCAAAGGTGTGTGCCTCTGGTGCCATACTTCAGTCACGGCTGCCCTCTAGAAGTCTCAAAACTCATTGCTGATTCGACTGTTTAGGCCAGCCGATGTCGATTGAGTTCGACTCCGGCCCTCCGCCAAGAGCACGTCGTGCCAGCGCCCCATCGTTGATCAATCGCATTCAGAAGCCGAACCTACTCGACCGTCTGGGCGGTAGTGACTCTCAAGCTCAGGATACCCGCGTTTCGTACTTTACTTCCTTTGCTACCCCTTAGCATCGATGCACTTACGCTTTGTGGTAGAACAAACGGCACTGGGCCCATCCGCACAAAACGCGGCGACCGCGACCGCAAGCCCGCTCCGCGCGAGAAAAAGGCAAAGGCGCAGCCTAAGTCCGCAGAGCAGCTCGACATGGAGCTCGACGCTTTTATGCAGGACGAGACTCCCTCGAATGCCGCTCCAGCGACTGAGGATGTTGAGATGAAGGTCTAATTTTGGGGCGATGGGTAAAATATGTTATGGCACGGACTTCGTTTTCTTGCGTGGTCTTGTGGCGAAATGACTTATGTCCCTCGCACCCTTTTCAATCTTCTTGTTAGCTCTTTACGATACTTCTGCTTAGTGGTTATCAAAATCGGTAAAAGCACTTGCGAAATCTGTTGAGTGAAGATGTCGTTATGTGTCGCATATATGTCACTCAAGGACGACCTGAGGAGGTGTGGTTGTACGTCTCATCCCCTTATACTTGTCAAGATCTGTTTACGAAAGTGATATTACAGAATGCTTTGTCTACTTTGCTGGTTACCTGCTGTCTGTGCGATCCAATTTTACTGTCACCCTCAAGAGCGCCCTTCCTCTGGGTCTTTCGGGCGCTCTTTGTAGCCCTCTGCATAGTTACCCAGCCTGCAATTCTCCGTGTCTAGCAATCCGTACCCAGCTATCAAAACCGGCACACACCTTCGTATATTGCGACCCGTCCTCGTTTCTCCTCTGCGGCGCAGGCTGTGGTATATTTCCCGGCTCCTTGGGCACCTTGCCATCCGGGTTCGCGCCGCGTCCCTGCTCACACCTCCATCAAAGAACGATTCTTTCACAGCCTAGGCATACGCACCGCTGCAGCACTCATCAATCCCGCCTTAGCGCCCTCGCTGCCGCGGTTGTCGTCGTTGCCTGGCAAGGGAATGCGTCGGCCTCCGTCGTCGCTCGACTCGACCTCGCCGTCATTGGTGCTCACGATGCGCGAGCCGTTGTGCATGTGGCCCGGATGTTGCTGGGCCCGACGAGCGATCCCTAGGGCATATATAACTCAGTTGACGATCACGCGGGTGCAGGAAGGCTGGTGGGGCTACGCACACGTCTGGTCGTCCTTGCGGTGGGCTGCGAAGCGTGAGTAGTAAAACGTCCCGAAAACGCCAACAAAGAAGGCCGTGCCGAGGAGCATCGTCTAGTGCTGCCATCTCAGCCGTTGTTTCCCCAACGCACCGCGCAACGAGATGCGCACCGTGAAGCTACCTCCGGTCTTGTGTGTCGTAGCACGCGGGCCTGTAGACATCGTTCCCGGCACTGCTGAACGCGTTTGCTGACGAGTTGGATGGAGGAGAGGAGAAACGTTTGTTTCGTCATGCCCGCTCGACGCTGGGTCTATATGCGGGTCATGCTGACACTGACAGGAGCTTCTCTTTTGGCTCGATCGCGCCCTCCGCCACCAAGACGACACCCTGCCTTATTTATCTCACCCGCCCCTTCAGATTGCCGCCACTCGGCGGATCGCTGCAGGAGCGGACACCCCGCTGCCCGTAGCGATACTTGACATGAGGAAATGAGGGTGTGATCTATCTTAGCTGCAAGCTGTTTTGTATCTAATGCGAAAAATACCCAAGCTCCAGCGCGTGAGTTAAGTTACATGAAAACAGTCGAGCAAGAGAGTCAAGCGACCTGTGCGTTTTCCTCCAGGGTCTCGGATATCTTCTCCTGAACAGTGGCGCGGACCGTTCGCACTTCTACACAAAGGCAACATCTTAGTCGCATGAAATGGAGCACACGCTTACCTGTGATGTTCTCGCAAGACCCCCCGTTTGGCATGAAAGCTTAGAACGAGAGTTATCGTTTCCCCAAGGCCAAAACGCCTTCGCAGGAAGGCGCTGTCAAAGCCGGGACAGAGCCCAGGACTGCCTCTGCCTTGTCGTCCATGCACTAACGCGTTGCCGGGGGCGGCACCAGCATGTTGGTTGGGTGTTCGGGCTGCTTGCCGTCAGGGAAGAAGCCACCGCCCTACAGTAATTCCGTGGGTCAGCCCAAGTAAGCTTCTGAATGTAGCGGTCGGCTTACTGTAATGGCAGACATGACGCGGCCGGTGATACCCTCGCTGCCGCGATTATCGTCGTTGTCAGGAAGCGGAATCGCGGCGGAGCCTTGACATAGTTGTTCGTGAGTACCAGGCTTCCGCTGCGGGAAATTGACAACAGAAGATGGGCAACACAAGAGGTGACCCAGATGTTCAAGTTTCAAGCATTTAGCATACAAGGAGAGTGGTTGCGGCGGCTCAAGCCTCAGGGATTGTCTGAACTGAAGATTGGATACTGTCTTGCGGGAAATAACCCTTTTACAGAGAGCCTCGTACGTCATTGTTACATGTCTTCACCTACTTCTTGAATTGCATATCGAGAGCCTATGCCCCCTGCGGTTTTGCCGGCGACCCCCGTCGGACATCCCGATCGCGCACCGTACCGGTGACTCTGGGCGTACCCATCTCTTTGGCCGTCGGCTGCTTCAGCTCCCTGTGGAGATCTAAACGCCCCCGCCATCAGTCAAATGAGTAACGAACTACAAAAAACGGAGAACGCACACGTCGGCTCGTCCATTCTCCTGTGCTTCTCTCGCTGGTAGAGGTAGTAGGCGAGATACACTCCTGTCGCGGCCGCTGTTCCAATGATCAGCGACTGGGGACGCAGTACTCAGCTTGCATCCGCGCGATTCCACCACAAACGGCCAGAGTGCGTACTCTGAAGTTGCCTCCAACTTGCGGTAGGGGACGCCCTGGTCCTGTGCTCATGGTGTTGGACTCGCCGGTAGTGGTGGGAGTGTGCAAGAGGGGCAGAGCCGATGTCAGTGAGTAAATAAGTCCCGTGATACTTGCGCTAGCTGTGCGCTTCGACGTCGATTACGCAAGAGCAGTTTAGACATGATGACGTCATTCATAGCGACTACAGTATGTCCAGCGCACGCCACATGCAGACGCCACCATGGTGCTGCAGCTTGATTCGGCAGGTGAGTTCATATCAAACTTATAACAAAAGATATTCTATACAATGCAATTTCCTGGTGAGACCACGCGCGATTAGCAATGCAAATGAAGAATGATGTTACTTGACTCACCTGAAAGAAACAATATGGGACCGAAATCATGAAACTAGGAATTGAAAGGAGGGAATCCGTCATGTCCTCGATAATGCCAGTTGACGGAGGAAAGTCAGGGCCTCATCGCCTGTCATGTTCGCGACTGCAGCAACATCCGGGATTGGGATCTTCTTGCTTGAGCTGGTGGCGTGTACAACCAACCGAGCGATCACTTCGCCGACTTCAACGAGACATGCGGCAACAATAAGCCTGCGCGAAACTCTCAGCATAAACATAGCCGAAGCTACACTATGCACACCTACCAGATGATGATCCAGGTGATACGGTCCATCGCGTTGTTATTCAGATGATCGTGAATCGCACCCAGCTAGTGTATTCATTAGCATGGTGGAACAGTCAGTACACCGGCAACACATACCAAGTCTTCGGCCACGGCGAGCTTCTCGTTCAATACGCCAACTCTAACACCTTTCATGAACATGTGAGCCAATATTTTACCCAAGCTTTCTACTGGATGTACTTACTAATTTCCATATAATCCCGTACGGCATCGTACAGCGCCCTCAAGCTCGCTTGTCCTTCTTCCCAGAACAGATCCGGAACGTCGAGCACGTTACTGACAAGATTGATGTCGCGCCGTAGTTTGAATAACCGTCCTGTTAACTTGAGCGCATCGGTACGAGAGACTGGGAGTGTTCCAGTGGTGGCGAGATGTGTAGGAATGGAAGTTGTCTGTGGCGAAGACAAAATGGCGTCCGTCACGGTTTCGTAGCGTGCGAGAAGTGTAGATTGCGCTAGGGCATGTGCGACTGAAAGCGTTCGGAGAGCCGAATGGGACTTGAACGCTGATACATATGATTACGAGTTCGCAACGAGACGATTGTGCATGCACTTACTGAAGAAATCGTTATAGATGCGGGGGTAAGCTATGAACGGTTTATACTAGTATACATTCAGCTTGAATTTTTGAGGAGTGAATTAATGACTAACCTCGTAGTGACACTCCTCAATCTCCCATCTGGCTTCCAGTAAGGGCTTCTGCATAATCTCGGCCGTCTCTACGTCTTCGAGAATGCTGCGCTCCTGTGCTTCGGCCAATCCAAAGAACACCACAACGCCGAACGCGAAGAACACGACCTCCGCGAAGGTATCAGGGTCAGGTTGAGGCGATCGTCTTGCGGGCGCAGGGACACTCGGCGAGATAGGTGAGCGTATTCTTGGGGTCTCAATTTCGGGTTCGCTGATAGCACCCGTCGCAGGCGGTGAAGTTCCCATGAAACCATTCATCTCTGTATACTCGGCTGGCGGTGTCGGTGCGCCGAAGTATGAAGAGGGCTCTGCAGCCTCCTCAGCTTCGGAGACAGCCGCAAGCATGAGATCCTCGGCTTCAGTCATGGGATCGTCTGGCTTGGTGGTAGGTGGGGCAGAAGAACGAATGTTAATGCCAGGGCCGTACCCAGGAAGAAGAGGTTGGTAGTATGTCTATTGAGAGGTAGGAGGTTTTTAGAGTACCCTCACACCCAAGGCAAATGAACATACGCACGACGTACATCGCCTCGTCGAATACCCTGGGCTGCGTATTATGCTCTCTCTTCAGGAAACTCGCAAGCAGTTTCATTCTGAAGCCCTCCGCAACGCAGTATGCGGTCATACGTTTGTAGCCCGCCTTCTCACGCTCGACTTTACTCATCCGTTCGCCTTCGCTCTTGACATCGCGTACACCGCGGTCGGTCTCGTACCCATGCTGGAGCTCTTCATCTTCATCCGGTAAAAGCGGTCTTGTTTGCGGTGCAGACGGGAGGAGAACAAGTTTCTGGGTGGTCTTGGACGTGCGCTGCGCTTTCGGCGCGCCCGTGACGGGGTTGATTCCACTTGTGCGGGGAAGTGCTCCTGAGAGTGAAGGCCTTCGTGACGGTGCTCGTGATGTAGGGTTGCCCGAGAGTGGACGCTTCGGACGCTTGAGACGAGGCAAGGGGGCGGTGGGTGTACGGCTTGGTGCTGGTCTTGACATAGCGATGGGAAGAGACGGATGAAGTGACCCGAGAGTAGAGTTCGACACGTCTGAAAGAGAGTTCGACAGTGGTTGATTGAAAGTGTCGCTCTGATAAGAGAACTCTTTCTCAGGCGAGAATCAAGCTGATCCGTAGAAAGTCGCGAAAGGCTGAGCTCAGGACGGCTAATAATTATGTTTCGCTGGTAGAACGAGTTTAAAAGTCGAAGTCAGGGTAGAGTCTGTCGACTATGATCCGACGTTTCGGTGAAGCACTCTGATTGGTTACTGACATGCTTCATATCGCGACGTCATACCCTCTCAGGCTCGAGGATCAGGCTCGCCGTTGACTGCGTCCTTCAGAGCTTTAACAGCCGCGTTTGATTACGTTCCGTGCTCATGGTCATTCTACTCAACTACTGTAACTGATACACATAAAGCCAGATACAGATTGAGGAAACAGAACGTCGAAGCGGCAGCAGACAATTATTCCTGAAAAGTACTACGAGTGCGCCACTGTCAAGGTATTCACGCTAATTGGTGGTTTACTGCAGGATCAACCTGAGCTCATGGCGACTTTGCTGCAAAGTTCTGGTAGGCAAGAAGTATTGCACAGATAGAGCTGAAGATGAAAAGCGGCAGGCAAAAGAAAGCAGAAGATGGTACGTCGCATGGAGCTCGAGTCACCCGTGTGATGTCGCTGCCGTCCTGCTCCAGAGCCCAGAGGCGATAATGGAGAATACTATGGTAGTGCTACGGGGTGTGCCAGGCAGTCTCGAAGATATTTCCGTGCCTGAAGATTTCCAGGGTGCAGTACCTTCAGCTGTGTGCATAATCTCCGATCTGGTCTACATTTCGTGTCGCTTTGACCCTCACAAACTGCACCTTACCAGAGGGTTCAGACTGGGAGGCCAAAGACCGCAGCAAACACCAACTGTAGTGCGAATATCGGGAGGATATTGCCATGTAGGGGGCAACTGATCAAAAGTACATTTATACGATTCCGAGTTCTCAACGCCTAGGTTATAAGCCACAACCCAAGCCAAAGATGTGAAACATGACTACGCATTAATAGTATGATAGAAGAACAAACGGTGTCCGTCGGAAAGGAACGCTATTCGGACTTGAATATCCGAAGTGACTGGCATGTGCAGCGGAGTTGGTTGTGAGTGCGAGGTGGTACAGTGAAGGTAGTAGATAAATAAGGAACGAGGTGTTTTGAGAAATCGTCCGTGAAAACTGGTTTGAGTATTATATCCGTAGAAGGAACGAAAGAACGAGGGAGAGGTGAATGCTCTACCCAACGACGGTCATTAAGCCGGGAACGCCCTTGGCATTCTCCAGAGCAACGGGCTGTTGCGGGTCGGCAGTCTCAGAGCGCGCAGCCAACGCAATGTAGCATATCTACAGGCAAACTGAGACGATGGGATATAGCAGACAAACACAGGTGCACGTACATCGACTTTGTATACACCGTCACGCTTAGGAGCGTGGATGAGGCATGTCCACCTAAGTGGTCGTCAGTCCCAAGCATCGCAGACATTGAAAAACCAGGAACATACTGTTCGTCAACAAGGACAGTTGCACCGATCATCTGCGCCTCCTCGAGCAGGTATGCCCGCATGGTCCTCAGCAGCCTCTTCACATCCACGCCGTCTCGGCAGAGGAACCGCCGTTGGTCCCGCAGCGGCACCCTACGCGCAGAGACGACGCCTTCACCACACAGTACAGGGTATGTTCTCGACTCGCCCGAAGACGACTCGATGGGGAACTGCTTGGCCTTGGCCTTGTCGCTCGACCGCCGCAACTTCACAATCATGTTGACGACGTGAGGGAGGCGGAGGGCTCTCGGGCGGGTTGAAGGAACGGACTGAGCTTCTTGTTGTGGCATCAATGGCGACGAAGGAGGAGAGCTAAAGGAGACCATGATGGACAATTATACTAGAAAGCTGAACAATTGAGAAGAGAAAGAGGCAACGTTGCGGGCGGCAAGGCGGCGTGGCATACGCCTTGCTGGCGGGACCTGTCCATATTTGGCAGGAGCAAAGATTCCACAAATTTTATGGACTTTTTCTCTGCATTTTAAGCACAGAGCTCGACGGCATCCACGAAGCATAGGACAGTGGAGGAGGGGCGGGCCATAAGCGCATAAGCCTTGGCAAAGGTAGGCATGGAAGGCGAGAAAGACGTAAAAAAGCAACATGTGGACTTATCGAGCGTTAATCCCGCTATTCACCCGAGCATGGGGATTTGCATACCGTGTCGGGCAGTCAGTCACACTGTTCAGCGATTCTGAAAGGTGTATTCTGCACGATAGGTGTGGCTGAAGACATGTGAGCAATATTACGTGTCGAATCCCCCCCACTCTTCGTACTCTTCCTTCTTGACCACTTCGCGCGGCTTGCGCGAGATGATGTCCTGGCCGGCCTGGGTCTTCTTCAAGCCAAGCATATTCTCGTGATCTGCGGATGGATGATGAGCTTGAATTCAGCTGGCGAGAGCGCTCACTCACATTTCCCCTTGATCATGTCGTCAACAATCGACCTGCTTCCAGAGGTGATGTATCGTGTTGACACGCCGCGAGCAACCAACGGCTGCGCAAGAAGTTCCTTCAACTCCGCCTTCAGGGCGGCCGTCTTTGCATTTGCCGTCTTGCGTTGGCGCTTGGAAGGCATAGCCACAGTGCCAACATCATCATCACTTAGACGAGTAAGCATGAGAACCTGCGTACCGAAAAGTTGCGGAGCTTACCTAAGACCAATGCCAGAGTCGAGCTCAATATCCATCGCTTCAGCTGCTTCCTTAAGCCAGTTTTTCTCATGCTTCTCCTTCCTAATCTTGTGCTGCAGGGAATCTATCTCTCTAGCGAGCTGTATGCGAGCCTTGAGTTTGTCCAGGAGATACAGCTCGATCGACATGTCAGGGATCTCTTCTTCCTCTGAGAGATGTTTCAGTACCACACGAGAGCAGCAGATACATGAGTACTCACGGCGCCCTAAACTTCCCAGCAGGGCGCGCACAATCCGCCGCTCATCGGGCGCAATCATGAGGAGACTGAAACCGCCCCGCATCGCACGAGCCGTTCGACCATTCCGATGAACATAGACATCTGCGGTGCGAGGTATCTGATAGTGGACAACATGGTCAACAGCAGGGATATCCAAACCGCGGGCGGCTATATCGGTCGCGAGGAGTATAGAATTTGGCATAGACTTGAACCTGTCTAAGTTTTTCAAACGCTGTCGCTGCTCCAGCTGGGAATGTAGTGGGAATGCCTTAAGCTGAAGCAGCTCCATAAGAGGCATGAGACGGCGAATGCCGTCGATGGACGAGAGGAAGATAAGAGAACGTCCTGGGTAACGAAGAAGGAAGTAATATAGATGTGCATCCTGTGCTCGTCGTCAGATGAGACTACAGGATGAATTTTCATAACAAACCTTGTCGTTCGTCAAGCAGTCGATTCTGCTCTCTCTGAGAGTAGAGACAACTCCACCTTCTGGGCTGAGGTCGATGACTTCGGGGTTAGGATCGCGGAAGTCCAAGCGCAGAAGCAAGTCGTCAAGGGTTGACGCAGGTTTACTGCTCTTGCGGCTGGGACGAGAACGCTTTTTCAGGTTTCGCTGCAGATCTTTGCTAAGAGTAGCAGAGAAGACAAGAGTTTGCAGCTCCTCCTTCATCTCTCCTTGTTCATCGGCCAAATCTTTCGCGACAGTGTTTCTGTCCTCATCGTGCTCAAATTCGGGTTCGATAGCTTCGTCCCTAGATATTATGAGCAACAGGAAAGCAGGAAGATGACCGCATCTACTTACTCTGATTGCTTCAAGGTAAGGCGAATGATATTGTCCAGCTCAGCGAAGTGTCCGTTCTCGATCATGCGATCAGCCTCGTCAAGGACCAAGAACCTGAGATGTTTGATATCATAGGCTAGATCCTCGTCTTCCTGCATGATATCCCAAAGACGGCCAGGCGTAGCCACGAGGACGTCCACGCCACGATCGAGAATACGACGTTGCTTCTGCGCAGACATGCCCCCGACAATTGCGGCGACACTCACAAGCGGGGGAGACCTCGCTTTTGACAACCCCTCGCTGTCCAACTTTGCTTTCGACTTGCCCTTGCTCTTCAACCGAGACCCCAGATCTGGCTCTTCCTCCTCTCGTTTCATTTTGACTGAAAAGACATCCACATTGTTGAGACAGGCGTTGAGATGAGACGACACTTGCAGAGCAAGTTCGCGAGTGGGTGCAAGTATCAACGCGCGCATAGGACGTCGTTGCCTCTGCGCCGGAGGCTCCACCTTGGCTTGGGTGAGGATGTAATGCAATATTGGCAGCCCGTAAGCAAGCGTTTTACCAGAGCCCTAAAGGCATGGAGTGAGTTCGGCTCTAGCACCTCTAAACACTGTACTTACAGTTTCGGCGATACCGACAACATCCTTGCCTTTGGTAGCGATAGGAATAGCCTTGGCTTGAATAGGCGTGGGGATCAGAAATCTCTGAGCATATAGAACGCGATTGAGTTGAGGGTGAAGGGAGAATTGATGCCAGGCGGGCAGAAGCGCTTTGACTAGATTAGAGTAAGCTATGTCCAATGATTAGAGCTTGACTACGCGACTTACCATCGAAAGGCCGCTCCTCAGGACGCTCTTCCGTGACAGTGGGCTCAACAGATGCTCTGGAGGGGCCTGCCTTGGTCTCCACATTGTGCGGTTGTGCGGTCTTCTTCGCGCCTTTCTTCGTCGGTTCGTCCTCAGTAATCTGTGCACTAGATGGACAACACGTTCAGATAACGTAGATCAAGCATACTCACATTAAACTTGATGATCCTACCGGCATCCGTCTCTTCGTAAACTACCTCGACGCCTTCCACCTCCTCTAGTTCCATGATGCCCTCGAGACCTGCGTCCAGGCCCGCTTCGTGCGCTTTAGATACGGTCTTCCAGGGCAGGTCACCAGCAGAAAGATGCCGAGTCTTGGTCTTCTTGCGCGCATCCTGCAGAGGGGCCTTTGCCTTGCGCTTTGTCTTGAGCTGTGCGACCATGGTGGACGCGACTGAGCAAAGACTCTGTGCCGAAGAGACCTGGGCGAAGATTGTTGGCGAGAAGCGTGCTGATTGGCTCTCCGGCTGCCCCGCCGGTCCTTCCTTTTTGGGAACACGTACGTACAGGAGTATTCGCCGGCGCTTGACCGCTATGTCTCTCTCTGGGCTACCCAGTTATGCTGCAAATATGCCGTGCAGAAGACGGCCAGATATTCGAGGTACTTGACACATATTGTGATCCATATCATTGCTGAGACGCGCGTAGGTCGATGCAACATTCCGGGATATTGATCGGTCCGTAACTGGTCTGAACTAACCGGCGAAAGTACCTTATCCATTTCGTGCTACAGGTTCGGGGGTCTGGAATACTTTCTGAAAGAACAGACTGGAGTAGACGAAGAAAACATACTTGCATATCTACCGGATGGACATAGGCTGCGCAGCGAGAATCTGAGGGAACTGGCTGGAACCCAGGACCAAGTGCGTGTTTAGCTGCATGAGGTTGTCACAATCTGCTACAACGTGCCGTAGACAGTCTTCGTATTCAACAAATCTTACCTGGATCTCGATATTGATCTGGTTCTGAGGCAGTTACGAGTCGATCCCCCGCTTCAGCCTTTAGTGGAAGGTGAGTTCTGACATCTAGGCCTCGCATACACTCATCGCAGAACTGTCAACATAGACACTATCGCCACCTCTTCTACACCGCCAGTTCGCCCTTCTGTACTGTCATCCTCATACCTGCACTCGGCCCATGCTCATTTTGACGCGGCGAACCGCACTTTACACGCGTTACACTGTCAACAAGAAGCGCTACGAATAGCCTCCAGCTCTCTTGATCTGCACGCACTCGATATCCAAGATGCGTTCGACACCATATTATCTGGTGCCCAAAAGGAGCTAGAGAAGCAGGAAGCTCTACTCAGAGGCCTCGACTCGGATTTGGAGGTTGTATCACGTGTAACCGTGCACAAAGAGTTTCTCAGTGCAAACCTCCGCAGAGCTATGGAGATGGGGGAGAAAGCACGGACGTTAGGAGACTATGTCAGCCAAGTGAAGATGAGACAGGTTGCAGAGACTTGCCAACGAACACATGGTAAGCGGTCTGATGTCCCACATGTCTTGAAGGCTAAGAGGCGAATAGACGACCTCAAGGCGAGGCTGCGGCAAGTTCAGGATACTATGACCGAGCTTCGCGAAGGTACCGACGATGTACGCGCTATTCTCTATGATGCAAGGTATAATTCTTCTTCGAACGTAGTGCAACTGTATATGCCATGTTGACATTGCTTGCAGTATACTAGATGACTCGGAGCTATGCACACGGAGGTCTCAGGATCTTCTAAACAGGATAAAGGACATTTCAATCACGATAGAAAGTGAGATGTCATGCTCTATTCAGAACGCCTTCATCTCAGTATTCGACAGAATCAGAATCACAGTCTGAGCAACATCTTAATGGTAAACACATTTGGCACCTATAATTTTGCTACTTGCTGAGACGCGATAGATCTCAGGCAGCTCGAGTCATCTCTGCGGGCAGAGCTTCAGAGGATCACTGGGAACAAGGTTGGTTCAGCAAACGTCTGACTAATGAAAACTGATACATAATGGTGACAGAACGACTACACGGAGAAATTCATTCGAGCCCTGAGACGGATTAGTCTGTTGAACAACTATGTTGTTCAGCTTCCCTCTACCCTGAAGTCCTTGCAGATGAGCTTCCGCACGAAAACCAGCTTCTCGCATATACAGCGGCTACACAATATGCTATATGCATATGGCGCGACAGTGGTCGAGATAGTTCGCCGGAAAGAGTTCGGTAGGTTTTTAGGATTCTATGGCGTAGTGATTTCCTAACTGCTGAGCATCTTGCCAGCGCAGTTCTTCTATCAGCGCGCCCAGAGCATCTTGGAGGTCATGGCCAAGCTATCGTACGTGCATTCATCTTCGTTGATGGCCCAGTCAGATTTACGATATACATGATAGGGCGAATGAACGCAAGCGGCGACAGGTGTATCGCGGAGAAATGCACGGCCTTCTGCCCTTTGACACCAAGAGCATGGACGATCCCGTCCCCTCAATCGACTTTTCTCCAGTTGGGTCTAACGAGCTCCCATACTCGCTTCACCGTGCCGACATCGATGGTAGCATAATCTGACCTACCCGATACCCAAAGGCTAACTCATGAGTACCAGACTTCTTGCACGTTTTGGACGATCTAGAGCGCTTCGCGCGACAATCGCCGCATTCGGATGCTCTTGAGTCAATAATGGAAGCTCGCACCGGCATTGAGAAGCTCCTCAATAAGATGGATACATTGGAGGCGGGCTTCGACCGTATCGCGGAGCGATCTCGTGCGTCATTCAATATGTTTACTTCACACTGACAAGGATCTAATACGTAACAGTCTTGTCATCGTCAAGGTTCCTGGAGCACCGAAGGCGAAGTAGGTGTGGCGTCAGAGAAATCTCATGACAAACACTAACTTCTGTCACCTATAGACACCGAGGAGAATGAGCAAGCCTACGCGGATCTAGAGCAGCAAATTTCTCACCTGACAAAAAGCAAGGAAGAGCGGGCAGCGGCATTTTCCCAGGAGAAACGGGCATTGGAAGAGGAACTCTCCCGCTTTCGTGCACAGCTGGATAACTCCGAGACATCCCGGGATCAACAGGACCGGGACTTGCATGCCATGAGAGCACAGCTTGAGAGCGAGATCACGTCGAGACGGGTACTGGAGCGCCGTAATGCGGAGCTACTGGTCGAAGCGGACGTGCAACAGAATGCCCTAAAGGATGCACTCGCGGAGGCGACGGATCAGACGAAGACGGCCGAGATTCTCCGACAGGAGCTGTCGCACGCGCGCGCCGAGTACGAGGACATGAAAGCCCTCGAGCAGCGCAACCGGGACAAGATCCAGTCGCTGCTGGAGGAGCAGGCGAATGCGCTCCGGCGGCTGGACGAGGCACGGGCGCGCGGCGAAGACCTGCAGGCACAGATCCAGTCGGCAAGGCTCGAGAGCGACGAGGTCAAGCGGGCGCTTATGGAGGCAGGCAGAGAGAAGGACCGGCTTTTGCGCGCACAGCTCGCCGAGCACGACCGGATCATGCGCGACCACATCGCGGAGGCGGACGGAGACCGCGCGGTTCTCGAGCACCAGCACCTCGAGCTCAAGGCCTCGCTCGAGGACGCCCAGCGACAGCTCAAGGATACGCAGGCCCGATGCGAGACTGCGAATTCGGATGCGGTCGGCCTACGAGAGGAGCTCCAGCGGGTCGAGCACGGGCTTCGCGAGGCGCGGCACGTGGAACGGGTCCTCCGCGATGATGTCCGCGCGGGCAGGGCGTCTCAAGCGGACTACGAGCAGCGGCTAGAGGAGAGTAGTCGGCTCGTTGCGCAACTGCTTGACGTCGCGGTGGCCTTCCGGCAGACGCATGTGAAGGCGTTGAACGCTATCCAGGCGATGACATCACACCCCTCGTCATCCAAGGCCGGTGGCAGTCTGAGCATGACGGAATCGGGGCTCGGCGGAGGCGTGCGACGCGGGGGCGCGGTCATCGTGAACCACATCGAAGAGCCGTTCCCTGTGGACCCGGCCGACCCAGCAGCGGGCCTCGAAGCGCTCCGGGCCTTTGACCACGACCAGTTCCTTGAGGCCGTAAACAAAGTCGCGCAGACGATCCGCAAGTGGCAGAAGCAGTGCAAGGAATATCGCGAGAAGGCCAAGGGCAAGATTTCGTTCAGAAATTTTACGAAGGGCGATCTTGCGCTCTTCCTCCCGACACGTAATTCGGTGACGAAACCCTGGGCAGCATTTAACGGTGAGTTTCACTTGATTTGGCAAGTCTCTCGCTTGCTCTATCGATGCACGGGGCTAGAAAAATAAGCTAAATACCGAGATTTCTCCATTTTCTCTAGTGTCTTTCCCTCATTACTTCCTGAAACCGACTGGTCATCTTGGCGAGCAGCTGAAGACTCGTGAATGGATCGTCGCCCGCATCACGTCCATCACGGAGGGCGTGGTGGACCACAAGGTACCGGCGAAATCTTTTTGCTAGACTATCAAGGGGACAGCTTGCTGACTTTCCATTGTTTCTGTCGAATCAGGATGCCAGCACGAACCCATATGGTCTTGGGGATGGCGTCAAGTACTATATGCTCGAAGTCGAAGATTGGACTCAGCCATCCTCCTCATCAAAACGCCGGACAAATGCAAAGAAGAGCCCTCTATCACCAACTGAACCGGGACCGTCAACAACGCTTGAGGAGACGCGGGAGCCTACGCCTGGGCCTCCAGATCCCGATGCAGAGGTTGAGGAACCCTTCCCGTCGCGATCGCCGACCTCGAACCATTTTGCGTCTCGTGCGCGAGGCAACTCTGCGACCTCGGCAGGTCCGTCGTCCCTGTCGCGCCTCCTTGCGCAGGCCCCGCAGGAGAATTCGTCGGAGAGCAGCGTGCAGTCGCGGCCGCACACGCCTCCGCTACTGACGCCGCCGTCAATCCAAGAGCCTGAGCAGCCCCAGCAGCCTCCACCGTCTCCGCAATCTCCACAACCACCGCAATCTCCACAGACTCCACATCCTCAACAGTCTCAACAGCCTCAACAGCCTCAACAGCCTCAAAAGCCGCCGTCGTCCCCGTCACTTACGATCGTGACACCACAGAGCGCAAATATCCCACTGCCGCTGCGCTCAGGCTCTCGCGCATCTCGGCTGTCGACCTCGTCGCGCCTGTCGAGTGCACGGCTACCGTTCGCCGGCGGTCCTGCCAAGGCCGTCGCGACGACCGCACTCGCATCGGAACCAATCACCCCGGGGTCGACAGTGTCCCCCTCGGAGGTGTTCAGCAGCCCGCCAGGGTCGCCCGAGGGCCTCAGCGCCTCACCGGACGGCTCGCAGACAGGCGGGCTCTCGAACGTTCTCGCGGCGCACCAACACGCCCATCACCCCACACATCTCGCGCGGCGCGGCAGCAGCCGCACGACGGCGTACCAGCCCGCGCGCGGCTCGCCGTTAAGTCCCACGGCCGCGCTGACCGCTAGCGCCACGGCGGGGCCCGTGCTCAGTGGCGCGGACGTCGCCTCTGGTGTGTCTGCGGGCCTGACCGCACGCACCCGCCTCGCAAGCCTCGCGAGCAGCTGGGGGGTGTCGTTTGGCCGCAGGCGGGGGATGATGGACTCGCCTGGCCCGCCGGGTGTGTCAGGCTCGGGTGGTGCGACGAGAGGCGCGAGCACGCGTGAGGAGCGCGCGAGCCAGTAGACGCGGCTCTGGGTCTGGAGTGCCTGTTTTTTTTTTTCGCGGGCAGGGGAAAAGTGGTGGCGGTCGCGCTGATGCGTAGTTTATCCGTTTGCTGATTTTTTTTTTCGCTTTGCGATGGTGCCAGCTCTAGACTGTCTCATGCGTTGCTCTATATTTGCTGTCGATGTTAACACGCTTGCAATAATGGTACTGCTCTTCATTACGGTGGCTGGTCTCAGGGGGAGGGTGGTGGAAAAGCTGTGCCTCTGTGGACGAGTGACATCTCAAACTTCCAGTATTTCGCCGGGCTTGGCGATCGTGGGCAAGCAATTAGCTGCAATTAGCGGTCCCGTGCGTCAATAGTAGGTTTGCGAGCAGATGGTTTGCAAATGGCGGGAGTCTTCGTCTCTTCTTATCTTTGAGCAGGCCAGGCGAGAGTGGGTGGCTTGCGATGTTGCCGCGCCTAGGGTGGTTAAATGATTTTGAGGAGGATGTCCGCAGTACATGCGTTCTTGTGCGATGGCCATTTCGGGCTGTGGGGCGGAATTTGATCTCCTGTGCGCGGAAGCAATCCGGGCCGCGCGCTACCTCATGTCGGTGAAATGGCCCCGCATGCCGCCTGTCTTGGCGATGAGCGAGAGCGCGAACGAGCGCGGGCAGCACAGGAGAGGAGAACGTTCGCCGTCCCCTCCCGCAGCGAAGTGTTTCGACGTCGACGAGCAGCGGTCGCCAGATCGGTCCAGGGCCCCGCCAGGCGCGAAAGCGGCGCGCCTCGCCTGGGTATTTCGATTAGCACCACGTGCTCGATCGGCCTCCGCTGGGAAAAGTTGCGCGACCAACCTTCGCGGGGAGCACCGTGACTCGCGTCGCAACGAGGACACCAACGCCGACACTCGCCTCGAGAGACTCGCGTGCTTTGTTTGCCGGTCCTGTTCGCGTTCGCCGACGAGAAGCAACGTCGGGAAACTAGCTTTTTGCCTCGCCATCGCCCTCCAGCCGCGGTGGTGTCCATCCGTCCGGAACATGGAAGATGGCATAACATCGTCCGACGGAGGTTTGATGGCCCTCCAGGTCGTATGGTGCCTGTCTCGGACTCCAGAATTCCCCAGATCCCATGGCGCAGGCCAATGAGAGTGGTCAGGCTCCGGGGTAGAGCCTGGGGACAGCGCGGGGAAATGATGCACATGGGGAATTTATGGAGAAACTCCTCCAGGCCGGTCAGCTGGTCCTCGCGGTCTTGCAGGGTCTTGTCCACCGCTTGCAATATACCCATCATCCCCCTCGGGTACTATAAAGATGAGCTCGCGCTTCTCCCAATCCTGTCTTCAACTTCTTGAAGTTCCTCCGCCGTCACCCCCGCCTCACTCCCTTCCTTCCATAACCTCGTCTTCATCATGGGTGGTGGACCTGCCATCGCTGGTGTTGCTCACGACGGCTTCCTCCAGTATGTCGACCCGAACAGAAAGTGGTACAGCAACAGACGGCTCCTCATCCTCAATGCGTGGATTTTCCTCCTGTGAGTGGTCTCACGTCGTACCCAACCTGCTCCCTGTTGACCCAGTCCTTCAGCCTCATTACGTCCTCGACGAACGGTTACGACGGCTCACTCATGAACTCATTCGAGTCGCTACCCCTCTGGCAGAGCTATTTCGGCAAGCCTCAAGGTGGCAAACTCGGTCTGCTCAATGCCATCCAAGTATGTTCGATACTTTGCCCTTGACGACGCCCAATGCTCACCGCTCTTTATTTTCTCCCAGAACATTGGCGCTTTGGCAGCCTACCCCTTCGCGCCCTACCTTTCTGATGGCCTTGGGCGTAGGCTCACTGTCTGGATCGGTGCCGTCATCATGTTGGCCGGTGTTGCCGTCCAGGGTGCCGCCACCCACCTCAACATGTTTTACGCTGCTCGGTAATTAACTGTCGTAATATATCTCGCGGCGCGTAGTTGATGTTGGAGCCTAGTTTCGTGATCGGCTTTGGTCTCACTTTCGCCACTAACGCGGCGCCTTTGCTGGTGACGGAGATTGCCTACCCGACTCACCGCCCGCAGCTGACGGCGCTGTACAACTCGCTCTGGTACTCTGGTAATATTGTGTACGTATCGCAGTTAGACATTATCTCCGATCTGTGTCCCTGATACACCGCCACCATCGTGCAGCGCATCGTGGACCTGCTTCGGTACCGAGTTTATCAAGAACAACTGGTCATGGCGTATCCCATCGATCCTGCAGGGTCTCCCGTCCGTCTTCCAGTTCTTCCTCATCCTCCTGGGCCCCGAGTCGCCGCGTTGGCTCGTCAGCAAGGGCAAGGAGACGCAAGCGCTCAGGACGCTCGCGCACTACCATTCCGACGGCGACGAAACCGACGCGCTCGTCCTGTACGAGTTCAACGAGATCAAGGCCGGGATCGAACTCGATCGCACGGTCACCTCCAACGTCGGTTGGTCGGCGCTGTGGTCGACACCTGGCAACCGGCGCCGCATGACCATTATCATCGCGATGGCCTTCTTCTCGCAGTGGTCCGGTAATGGCCTCGTCTCCTACTACCTGAACCAAGTCTTCAAGACGATCGGTATCACAAACACCACAATCCAGCTGCTCATCACTGCGTACGTAACTCGCACTATGTCCGTTGTGGTGCAGCGCTCATTAATCCGTGTAGCATTCTCGCTATCTGGAACTTGTTCTGGGCCGGCCTCGCTTCGTTCCTGGTCGAGCGTGTCGGTCGCCGCATTCTCTTCCTTACATCCGGGCTGGGCATGCTCTTGTTCTTCACTCTACAGACCATCTGCTCTGCGCAGTATGCCCTGCACCAGAACAGCGCGGCGGCGCACGCCGTCATTGCATTCATCTTCCTGTTCTACGCATCCTACGAGTACGTCTTCTCTCCTGCACTGGCCCTGGCCACTGCTGATTTACTTGCCCCCTCAGTCTTGCCTTCACCCCTCTGATCGTCTCCTACACCATCGAGATCCTGCCGTACACGCTGCGTGCCAAGGGTTTCAACATCTTCAACTTCTCCATCTCGGTCTCGATCATCTTCAACCAGTACGTGAACCCGATCGCGCTCGGCAAGCTCGGCTGGAAGTACTACATCGTGTACTGCTGCTGGCTCGCGTTCGAGTGCGTCTTCCTCTTCTTCTTCATCGTCGAGACCAAGGGCCTCTCGCTCGAGGAGACGGCTGCGCTCTTCGACGGCGATGACGCGACTCGCGCGATCGGCAACGCGACGCACGAGATCCGCCACGACGACCTCCACGACGAGAAGGCCTCGGGCTCGTACACGCCACCGAACGAGCTCAAGGCCTAGGCGTTCCGTGCCTCCTTTTTCTCCCTCGGCGCTGTTCGTAATTTTGTAGTCAAGTTTTTTCTCTCACGTCTGTAACATGACACTCACACGGCACATCTACGCTATACTACTATTTGCTCCACATCCCACGAAGCTTGCGCTTGCGCTTTTGCTTTTTTTCTTTGCCTCTTCGGACATAAACCCTACCGAGAGGTTGTACACTAGGCACGAAAAAAATACCCATCGCTCGTAATACCGAATTTCTCTCCTGCATGCTGTTTGCGTCGACCCTTAGAGACCCTGACCGTGATGAATATGAAGCTGCCCTGTGGGGCCTGAAACTGGACGACGACCGTCTAGACATCAGCCGCGGCGCATCATGTGCAGCACCCGTGGGCCTTCGCCAAATCTTCTCTCCTCGCCAAAAATCAACTGCACCCGAGACACCAGTCCGGCACATCACGCACAAAGGCCCAGCGTGACCGGCAGGGTGGTGCTCGACGCCCGTGTTTTTTTTTGTTTGCCTCGCGCCTTCCCAGGCCTTCCCTCGGTGCCATTTAGACGGACTGAGCTAAACCGAGTGGGGGGTACACAGCAACCTGACAGGAGGGGGCCCTGTTCTCCATGGTGCCCTTGCTTCAAGCTTATCTCGCGTGGTACTGACAGATGAGGTTAGAGCATGCACAGAATGGAGCGGTCGTCGAACTTTGAGCCTGCACTTCAATACTGCCCCCATGCGGGGCCCCACGCCCTCGAACCTGAGAACCACTGAGAACCATCGCCCCGCTGTCAGCTGCGCCCGCGCTGGCCCGGAGGCATGCTCCCGCAGAAGTCCACGCCTGCCACCCCGTTCAACCTACACAGGTGGTGCGATACGCCAGGGTCTTGCGGTCGGAGCGCGAACGCAGCGGCTGATGGTGGCAGCCCATCCCTATCTTTGCGCTCGTGGAAGAGGGAGATAGGTGGCCTGTGGCCCGCCTGCAGAGCCATCTAAGTCCGGATTAGAGTCAGTGAATGGTTCTCGCTTTGCCTGTGCCCACGCACACCACAGCCGTTGATTGATAGTTTGATACTATCCAGCCAGCCCCGGGCCACCGTGCTGCCTGTATGGACATCCGCTTTCAGAGACCGCAGAGCGGACACGGTTTTCATCCAGACGCACAGCGAGAGCGAAGCGGGCCCCGTCCAGGGAGCCAGCGCTATCGTCGAGAGAGACCCATACCTCTACTCGCCGATCGAACATCCGCTACCCGCCCGCCACATGGGAGCGGCGCCGCCCAACGAACGCCCTGTGTGCGGGTGGGACACAAACTCAAACAGAATATCACACTCACCACCGGCACGAGGCTGTCAGGGCGGACTACACGAACGGGACTAGCCTGCCGCTTCGGACAGGCGCCGTTTCATTATGCGCGGACCTTGATTTGTGTAGCGGTTAGGAAGAACGGCTGCAAGCGACTCGGCAGTCAAATTCGCAGCCGAAATTCAATGGGCTATCTCGATCGTTGCGTCGTCGGTGTGGCGAAGCGACCTGCGAGGGGCTGTCCTCGCAAACCGTGGCGGCCCTTGACGATCAGCAAATAGCATACTGGAGTTGTGAATGAGAAACGGTCTGGTTATCTGACGAATACGTGACTCAAGATAGACAGTCATTTCGTGTTCCGGAATTCGAGTTTTCTGGCTTCCATCTCCTCAGCGTGCACGCGTCTGTTCCTAGGGTTCTAGAAACGCGTCATACTTTGCCAAGCATTGGAATCCCAACACGAGATCTTCGGTCCGCGAACTGAGAGAACACGCAAGTGAGAAGTTACTCACAACAGGGAGCCGCTCTGTCGACCACGAGCAATAGTGGCGGCGTGCAACAGCGAAGCGACCGTCGTGGTTTCGGAGAAGAGGTGGTTTGAATGACGTCTGACTGCTGAGACAAGTTTTCCCGCACGCGATGTGCGAAGCACGACCGCATACTTAGCTCATGTACCTGGTGCAGTGACATCGTCATGCTCTGCAGCATGAGAAGCTCCTCCGGACCTGGCGGCCCTATCGCTGCTGCACTGAATGAAAACATGGGCATTCTCCCAGGCAGGCAGCTCGACGCACGTCCCGATCTTGCCCGCTGCACCCACGATGGAGGCCCGTCGTCCCGACGGTCTAGACGATCGACCTCCGGACCTCGTCCCTGTAAAGAACAAGGACCGCCCGGACCTAGCTTTGCAGGCCCACGACGGGATGCCGGCAACGTAACAGGGCCTTCACAACTTCGTTCCCTGGGCTGAGAATGAGGGGCATCCGTGTGACGTACCCCCACGGGCCTCAGAACCAATCTGGGGATTCTCGCTGGTGGCTGGGGGACGATATGTTGAAAAGACTCACCCATAACTCTCGCACGCTCATTCTCCCACGAGCAGAGGATAGGCTGTTGGAGGGAGGAAGGGAGGAGTCTGCAAGATGCCCATGCGAGCCTGCTAGCCCTGAAGATCGCCGTACGGAGGTAGCGGCCTTAGTGCACGACAGCATCGGGAATATCGGTCTGCGAGTAGCATTCGCTAGCTATTCGATCTGACACGTCCCGTCTCACGATGGGCTCGCTGATCTTCCTGGTAGGTCTATTGAAGATGCTGTAGTCAGCATCATCTCAAATACAACAGCAACCGGACAAGTCCCACCATTTTTCTTTGGGATGTACTTATGAAGATTTGCACGAAGCTGACGACGCACGAGACCCGCCTTTTATCTCTCACGGCTGCAAATTTACCATCACTCGGCTCCGCACGATTGGGTTGGGAAAAGTTCCGGAAAGCACGCATATCATTCCAGTCCTCTGTACAATAACGGCGAGTCTCGTAAGATAGTTTATGGTGTTCAAACTTGGGCGCCTAATAGTTGCCGCCGTTAAGCTGTTACAGCTTTCGTCAACGGTCGCACGTCACATAAATCCGACACTACGCACCTTGTCCTTGAGCTGCGAGATGAACTGCTGGTAGCTCGGCAAGACATCTCCACGGTCCTGGATGAGGCAGCTGAGGGCCCACAACCGCAGGGCCGGCTCGCCGTCTTCCTTGGCGACGTACAGATGTGGCCAGTATGGGCCGCGGCGCATCTCGCGGGTCTTCTGGATAATTGCATTTATGCGTTGACTGAATGGGTTCTCCAGTATCGGTAGCGTTAGCTGCAAAGGGACCGTGTGAGTAATTAACTTTCAGTGATAAGACACACAGAGGACGGACCTTTCCGCCGCGCAAGACCTCGTAGCTAGGCAAGTTGAAGACGTCCATGATCAACTGCGGTACAGCATCGCGACCGACCCAGAGGAAGATGTTTTGGCCGTCATCGAGCAGGAACAGACCATGCCTCTCTAAGCGCTCCGAGGTGAGCGGCAGCGGTGGGGGCATAATGACACCGTGCTCGCCAACGGTTCCGCACTGCAGCACGGTCAGACCAGTCCCTAGCCACGTTGATGCAAGCTCACCTCTGGCGGCATGTTATGCAAGGAGTAAAAGTTGGCGTAGACGTATGGCATGAGCAGCTGCGACGGGAGTGACGTCAATAAAGCCTGCGCGTACGCCCTGAGGTCCGGCGGAATTTGCGCGCTCTGCCTGATGCCGACGTTCTTTAGCAAACCGAGAACGAGCACGGGCAACATCTTGAGGTTCTCAGATATGGCAAGTTGGGCACTTGCACCAGCGCCGGCGGCAGTCATGCTTGCCTTGTAAGCCTGCAGGATCTCGACAAGCTTGTTGAAGAGGGCGTCCCGCGCGTCCTCAAGTTTGTGCGTGATACAACGCTCGACTGCCTTGTTAGCAAGCAGAGTAGCAATAGCGATCTGGTCAGCGGACGCGAAGATCTCGGAGAGGTTGCTAGTCGTCGGAAACGCCGTGGTCACGACGCGAATGCGACGTTCACCTGAAAAGCTAAGTTAGCAAGGGGAGCAGCGCCATGTGGGCAAAACCTCCTGACCGTAGCAGGTCGTGTGCAAAATAGCAGTTTGGAAGACGACGAAGGGCGCGGTAATGGTATCTTCGATCTGAACCTCGATGGCGTACGAGAGATCCTGTGGAACCGCGGGCATAGCCAGAAGATCTGTTGAACGAACAAAAAAGTTTCCGTGGAATGAGGACATCCGCAGGTCTTCAGGGAAATTAGTGACCAAACATAGGATAGACGTCTTTACTGCTTACTTTTAGATGCGCGGACGCGCATGACAGCCTCCAACATAACGGGTTGCGCCAAGACCGAGCCAAACTCGTGAGCGAACTTGATCGCATCCTCTGTTCGTGCATTGAATGCAGGATAAAAGTAGGTCTGACCAGCAGTGTAGTGAGGCAAACAAGCTGTAAGCAAGAGTTAGCATCAGATCGGGCAAGACATGAGTGTTTTGCTCACCGAGGGTGGCAACGTCCTGATAGACAGCACTGAACAGGAACATATCGACCGAGACCTGAGCGCGGGAACATTCGATGGCGAAGGTTTTGTAAAACGGTGAAGCGGCCTGAAGAAGGCCGGACTCCTAGACCGACGTTAGTCACCGACGGATGATCGTGTGACGGTAAATCGTACCTTCGACGTCCCCAAAATCTTCGGGTCTTCTCTGTTCTTCAAAGCTCCAACGCCAATTGAAGGCAAGCTTGAAGACAAGACAATGATTTTGCCGCCAATCGATGACTAGAAAAGACAATCAGCGATAGTACGCAGCATATATGCGGATTGGCGGACCATAAGCTGGAAGCCCGCCTGCAGAGCGGGGCCGAGAGCGCTGCCAATGATGTGGTTGTCCTGGAACATGTCGCCGAGACGGCCCAGTAATGCTTCAAGGGATGCGCGAGCCTCCGACAGGTTCACCAGCAAGTCTGTAGGCTTGGGCAGGAAGACGTCCTCCACGTCAGACACGACGAGCATGGACGACTCAGCGGTGCCGGGCTGCTGAGTGGTCAGTGTCTACACAGAACTAGAGGACGATACTGTCAACTCACTGGCATGGAGAAGAAGTACAACGATGTGTCAAAGGCAATGATGGAGACCCTCGTCCTGCCATTTTCGTCGGGTATACGGTCAAGGTTCTCCAACATCGTACGTGTTGCGGTAGCGACCATGCCAGACTGAATAGCACTGTGGCTAACGTCGATGAGGAAGATGTACACCGCCGGCTGAGGGGGTCGGACCATGTATTCAGTCGGCGCAACATACTCAACAACACCGTGGTTCAGCTCTGGACGCGCCCATCTGTCTCCCGGCTGGTTCCTGACTTGGTCCCAATCGAATAGCTGAGGAACCTCGTTCGAGAGTGAGCACATGCAGCATCTCCAACTGTGACTAGTTGAGCTGCGGACACTTCGCGAATACCAAAATGCAGACTCACCGATTGCCACCATCTATGAACTGCACGTACGGGTTGATGTACGTCCTGCAACGTCTGCATCGGGCAATAACGGTATCTGTCACAAGAGGCACCGGCTCGTCGCCTTCCTTCAAAGAGCGGTAGGGTGTAAGAATTAGGCCAAGGGGAATATTCGACTTCTTCAACAGCGAGTTCGTAGTGGGAATAGCGTTCAGGGTACAGCGTTGATACGTGTGGTCGGCGTTGGCAAGTGGGGAAGTAGAGATGCATGAATTAGGTGGGAGAACAATCTCGGGGGGCGGATTCGACAGCTCGCGGGGGTCCGGAGGAGACGTCAGGAGGTTGGTAGTATAGAGCCGCAGCCCCTTCTGTCCCATGTTCATCTGCCCGAACTGGTCGACAAGGTTATTAACTCCAGCTTGAGGCTGCCCATACACAGGCGGCTGGGGAGCGTTGATGTATTCAGGTTCCGGAGTAGCACCATAGTACGGAGGCTGTCCGCCCATCTGCTGTTGCTGCTGCTGCTGCTGAAATTGGTTCTCGGCAGCCAGGCCGGGAGTGAAGAGCTGACCAGGCTGAGGTGCAGCAGCAGCACCACCACCATATCCTCCGCCGTTGAGATTATCGCCCGCGCCGTAGTAAGCCTGAGTTTGACCGGCGGCATACTGGCGGCGTTTCGTGTGCTGCGTAGCAGGAGCGGGGCTTGACGAAGGAGCGAGTTCAGGATCAATGGCCGGAGGGTCCCAAGACGTCTGGCCGGTAGCGGTCTCTGTCACGCTTTATGTTGAGAAAAATAAGGGAAGAGGGGTTAAACAGCCACTCACCGATGAAGAGGTATCGTTGGTGAGTAGGTTCCCTGCGGAATGTGAGCACAATGACTGCATGCGACAGTGTATGTATACTCACCACTCAGCCGTCCACCCTGGAGGAAGCTGTTGAGCTGGAGAAGCCATCTTTGATGTTGAAGAATCGGGGAACAGATGCTCTCGAGAATATGAAAGCCGAGGGGTTTACACCGCGTCTGGGTTCCACGTCACCGTGTTCAGCGACTCCGAGCTGCACGGAGACACTGCAGCTTAGCATCCTATACACGAACTGCGCATGTAGTAAGGGGGCAGTGAAGACACGTACGTGAAAGGTTAGTGAGCGACGTGGACGTTTTCAAGCCGACTCCCGACACTGCGACGCCTGATACGCCAAGACGTGGTGGCGGGCGCCTGGGCGCCTTTTACGTGGCAATACTTGGCCTCATTCAGTCATGCATTCTTACTGGAACATGCCTGCCCTCTGAGATTTCACCAACTAATATCTGCTAGGGGTCCTCGCAGGACAAAATTTTACCTGCACATCCTGCCTCAGAATTTCTCTCAAATCAGCTCGGTTTGAAGACCAGTCGCTGGAGGCTTGGCAGAAATTTAAAACGTCTGGTAAATAGTCCGACATTTCGCCGGTAGGCAACTGAACTACTCAAATCGAAAAACGCTTACATACGTCTCGCGGTCTTATGACTGCTAGACGACGACTTCGCGCTACTTGAGTCGTCTATTAGAGCTTATAAGCCTAATTTGCGCCGACTCGCTCTTCTCGCACCCTCTTTGACCATGTCGCTCACCCAGGTATACACGGAGAACAGAGATGATCGCACTGCTTCTACCCGTTCCATCTCTCTTCGTAGCCGTTCACCGCATCCCCCTCTAAACGCCCAGCCTAGTCGCAACAGTTTTGACAAAGGAGGCGAGATTGAACTGGCACAACTGGGTGTCTCCGAAGGCGTACCACCCGCCAGCGTCGAAGATGCCAGCGAGGGTAAGACATCCCCTGTCGACCCGGTCGAGCCACCCAAGGTATCAAGATGGACTGGTCACATTCAGTTCCTTACTCTGTGCGGGACTTTGTTCCTCGCGGGCTGGAACGATGGTACGACTGGTCCTCTGCTTCCCAGGATGCAGAGCAACTACCATGTAGGTTGCCAAATGACGAGATATTCCATACAGTGAACGTACCAATTCTTAGGTTGGATATACGGTTGTGTCCTTAATCTTTATTTTCAACTGCATCGTGAGTTGCATTATGTCCCTCCCGGCTTCATTTCCGAAGCTGAGTATCTTGTGCGACATCTAGGGCTTCGTTTCTGCGGCTGCGGCTAACGTCCACTTGACGGACAAATTTGGCTTCGGGAAGGTGGGTCCCATATCTTACCTCCTGTTACCAGACATTTGATGGTTGTATACAGGTTATGGTTCTGGGTGAGTTGAATCGTTCACAATAGCTCTAGCTACAGCCTTGACTATGTCGCAGGGTCCATTGCACAAGCCATTGGCTATGCTATTGACTCTCCTGCACCACCATTTCCCGCATTTGTATTCGCATTCGCTCTGAACGGGTTTGGCTTGGCCTTACAAGTAAGTAGTATCTCCCTTTAGGGAATTCGCAGGACTGATACAACGATTAGGATGCTGGCGCAAATGGGTACGTCGCGAGCTTGAAGGATAACGCCCAAACCAAAATGGGCGTTCTTCACGCTGCGTACGGTTAGTGCGCCTCTAGACACAAGACAGCGAACAGCCGTCCTCACCATGTACAGGCGCTGGAGCCCTGTGCGCCCCGTTATTGGCTACTCCACTTTCGCACAAGCAGCACTGGTCATACCAGTACCTAGCCTCCCTCGGTTTAGCGATCTTGAATACCATTCTTCTAATCGCCGTTTTCCGTTTCCGGAGACAAGATGGTAGGCGATCGTTTCTCGTTCGTGAGGCAAGGCTCTCACAGCGGCTTCTAGAGTGTCTCCGGGAGATTGGGCAAGCGCAGACGCACGAGACCGCTGCAAACCACGAAGATAACAAATATGGCCAGATCTTCCGACTCCGTGAAGTCCATTTACTCGCCTTTTTCATTCTTATCTACGTCGGAGTGGAAGTTACAATCGGAGGTGTGTTTATACATGTAGGGGCCTCGAAAGGTCACTGAAGCTTCGCTTTCTCGACAGGCTGGACCGTCACATATATCGTTGACGAACGAGGCGGCGGATCCTCTGCCGGATATGTCTCCGCCGGGTTCTTCGGTGGTAAGCACGCTGCTGCTATGGTTGCGCCGGCTACTCACAACCACGGTAGGGCTTATGTTTGGGCGGGTTGCTTTGTTGTGGGTCAACAAGAAGGCAGCTATACATTCCGCGAACCGTCTTTAGCTCTGGCTAACACTAAGCATACATAGATTGGCGAACGCCGTGCGATCTATATCTACACCATTCTTGCTATAGCGTGAGTCAGACATCGTCAAGTTTGCAGAAGACCCTAGGATTGACCACTGCTTTCAGGCTTGAAATCATCATTTGGCTCGTGCCATCCCTCATCGGAAACGCCCTGGCCGTCTCATTCATTGGCATGCTCCTCGGCCCCGTGTACCCGATTGCCATGAACCATGCTGCGAGGATTCTGCCACATTGGCTCCTTACAGGCAGTATCGGCTGGATTGCAGGCTTTGGTCAAGCCGGTTCTGCCTTCCTTCCGTTCATGACAGGAGTGATTGCCTCCAAGGAAGGTATATGGGCCTTGCAACCCTTGTAAGTCGCAGTATCGCTCGATGCATGGTGCAGGTTGTTGACGGCAGTTTATAGGATGATTGCTATGATGGCCTTAATGCTCATCTTGTGGTTCTTGGTGCCAGCTCACTCGCGTCGCGTTGACTGAGTTTGCGAAGCCCGAAGATCGGGTGCAGTTTGCGACGCAGCGGGTAGAAGTCTTTCGTAGATTACGGTCATGTATACGAGATTGTGTAGTGTCTTATGCACAATATCCTTTGCTCAGACTCAGCGCAGAATAGCTCCAGTAAATTATCTGCTCCGAGAGACCGGCAAAGCTTACACGACGCCACAGTTCGTAAGCCCAATTTGTCAACTCCGTGTCGACGTGCCATGCGCGTTTCGAGACCTCAAGGCCTCACTACCCGTGCTCCCGAAGTTTATCGTATCTACGCTCATCATATCCGTGGCAGCGTCATCCATCAGGCATACTAACAACGCCGCAATTGTGCAGAATAACTTGTCTGCCAATAACTAGTCTGTAGGAGGTGTGGACTTTGTACGTGCGATTGCTGGCCGGTCCGCACAACTACCTTACCCTCTCACTCAGCTCCGCAGCCTATGGCCTCTGCTCATAACCATGTTGACGACGAGATGCACGAACTGACACAAGAGGCAGACTATCTGGACCAGACTGTCAAGGTCGACCCGACTCCAGTCAACGGCCACAAAGCGAAGAGGGAGACAGGCGACCATGATCCCGACGCCCAGGCGCAAGTCATCGACTCCCTTCGCTCCCAGATCCAGGACCTGTTCTCTCAGGTCTCGCAGCTGAATAACAAACTCGTCAAGTCATACGACCGCGTCTCAGACCTTGAAGATCAGTTGCATCTCGCCTCCGACAATCTGCGCAATTCTACGCTCAAAGTCTCGCAACTTGAGCTCGAACACGCACAACATGTCTCTGCGCTGAGCACCGGGCTGCTAGTGGAGAAATCCCACGTCACTACCGAGCTGACACGTCTCATGGAGAAGGCGACCGAAGAGGCTGCGAGGGCGGGAGAGGCGGTGAGCGCACGGAACGCCATTGAGAAGGACCTGGACGATCTCAGCGCGGGACTCTTCGGCCAAGCGAACATCATGGTCGCTGAAGCACGACTGGCTCGAGCTCGCAGCGAACGCAAAGTTGAGGAGACAGAGGAGGCTCTAAGGGGTGCAGAGGAGATTGTAGGTGTCCTGCAAACTCAGCTGCAAAGTTTGCAGGCGGAGAAGGAGGAATCTGACAGGAAAGCGGAGGAGATGCGTGCATTTGTAGGTAAGGGGAAGTGGGTAGAGCGTCCCCATGCATCCGGTCGCGCACCAGGAGTCCGCTTGCTGTGCTTGCATGCACCATACGGCGAATATCTCCAGCTGATCGCACACTTACGCTCGCTTCGGCCTTCCACTCCGCACCCTCCTGCCATGTCAACCCTTCTTCCTCAGCCATTCTTGGCTAGGCTTGTCGCAGAAGACTCGTATGTCCCCGCCTTTCGATCTGACGTCACACGTCTGACCGCGAGTCTATAGCGACCCAACTGTTCGTCTGGATCTTGCACCACAGTTAAACTGGCTTACTCGCCGTTCAGTGATCTCCGCATTGTATAGCGGGCAGTTGTCAGTCGAGCCAATGTCGACTACTACTCTCGTGGAAGAGCTCACACCCTCACTGATACCCGGAAACCATCATACCCACATCTCTTGCGCCATGTGTGGCACGACTATCATGGAAGCCCCGAGTTCGCCTTCTCGTCCCTCGTTTTCCCCTGTGCGGACCGCTTCTGGAGGCAAGACAACATGGACTCCTGGACTGTTGAAGACTTCTTTGGTGCAGAGTTTCACCTCTGCATCCTTTGGACAAAACTACTCGCAACCCACAACGCCTACGAGATCCGCATTCGGGCCTCTGGCGCAAGTCTACATCTTTAGGCTTGAGAATATGTCCTCGTCTGGCTTGCCGATCGGTGGGACCCCTCAGCAGGGGGCGCAAGCTCGCCCTCCGACGATTTATCCTCTTTGTGCCTCTGGTTGGTGTCTTACTCGGCTGCGTACTACTTGTTCGCTGTGGGCGTTCATTCGGATGAACGTCGTGGAGAAGGTCTGGGAAGAAGAGCCTTACGGCCCATCGTCTAAGTTGGGCTCTCCACGCCGCGCTTTGACTCCTGATCTGCACGGTGACAGTGCTGAGAGGCCTCAAGCACAGTCAAGGCCTTCTCGTATAGGAATTGGCGCACTCTGGGGCTCTATGTCTCGATCATTAAGTGGGCCTAAGACAAAGTCAGAACCGACGCCGACAGGAAGAGCAGAGAGTCCCCAAATTAAAGAGGTCCATGAAGAGTCTGCAAAACCAGGCATGAATAAATCGTCGCCTCCTATGCCCCCGCGCCGTCTCCCACCTCTACCTCCTCGTAACTTGCCGCCTCCGCCCCCTCGTAACCTGCCTCCGCCGCCCCCTCGTCACCCACCGCCCGAGGAAACGGCACCCAAGCCTTCCGCAGCCCCTGCAGGGCCACCACCTCCGCTTCCCAAGCGCAATCGCCAGCGTGCAGCAGAGCAGGCTCAGGGTGAAGAAGATTCGTCAGCACCAGCTGCTATCGCAGGTGAGCACACGGAGGCACCACTTGCCCCCGCCTCTCTCTCTCCAAAGGAAGGAGATTCATTGGCACCAGCTACTTCTATAGATGATGGCATAGAAGTGCCAAATGCTTCTCTTTTATCCCCTCCAGAGGAAATCGAAGATTTCACGACTCCGGAGGAAGAGCTCGCAGCGCCACCTATGGACCGAGCCCCGACGCCTACCTCAGTTCCACTACCCGAATCCGTGCCAGCATCGCCAACACAACCTGAGGCACCAGCACTACCTCCGGCCCCGTCGCAATCTGAGACCACTGCGAGGCCAGAGACGCCGCCTTCGGCGACGTCACAACCCGAGACTGTTGCAAGATCGGAAACACCGCCTCCGCAGTCATCCGACGGCAAGCCGCCTGTTCCGCCGAGGGCTTCTGCGCGTAACAGCATTGGAGCGCCGCCCCCGCTTCCCAGGCGGGCGGCTGCCAGGGCCCGACCCATGTCCATTAGCTCTCCTCTTGCGACCGAGGTCACCAAGGACGACGCAGAAACTCCTAAACCGGAGCCGAAGGAGGACGGAGCTGATGTTCAGGCCCCCACTGCAGAGTCCCTCCAGGAGGCCACGCTGAGCGACGGCGCTCCTGCGGCCGATCAAGCTCCCACCGACGCTGGTGAACATGAATCGGCAGCTGCAGCTACTGAAGATGACGTGAAGCACGAGTCTGTCTCCGCCATTCATGAGCCGCACACCGATGGCGAGGATGCAGGAAGCACGAACGAGAAAGCTGGACCTGCTTCGTCGACAGAAAACCTCCCTTCTGCCGGGGAGACCAACTCTCTTGCGCTAAAAGGTCATCTTGACGTTCCTACACCTCCGGCAGCAAACAGCGAGACCGCGAGCGTGGCGCCGTCCTCCGTCCACCACTTCGAGTCCAAGGAGGGGTCGCTTGAGGAGGTATCATTGGTGAATGTCTCCGATACTGCACCAGAGGAGACGCGCGTCCTCGACAGTCCGGATAACGGCTCGGAAACGGTTCAGTCCGAGGTCGAGGATATGGGTGACCCAGGCATTTACGTTGGTAACGCAAGCTGGGAGGAGCGCATGTGGAAGGAACTTGTCAAGCTAAGGGAGGAGATGTTCTGGGCACGGATTGGAGGAGTCCGGTAATATATATATCTTGAATTATCTCTTGACACCGAAAGGGCATCGTAATGGCACATATATAGATACCGTTCTCAACGCGAATGATGGTTGTAATCATCATGGACATATCGGCATATATATAATGCACTTTGCTGATTGAGGCTATCATGGAGCTGACGAAGGCTACCAGAGAGTGTTCTTCGAGTTCGGGTACTAATGCCAGGCATGCTGTGCAAGATAAGGAAGTTTATAACAAGGCTTGGATGGGATAAGTCTTTTACGAGAACATGGTGAAATCTATCTTGTAACACCGGGCGCGCCCGAACCACAGGACCTGCCTACTCTGGACGCGTACCGGTGTTGGCGCCCGCGTGGTGGCTGGTGCCTCTGCTCCACGGCCATATGTTTCGCAGCCATGGTCCGGCTCCATCCAACCTTGCCTGCTTGTCACGCGTCATGTTGGAGCTATTGTGTGGATGCGACCACCGCCCTGCGCAGCCCTGCAGTCTATAAAAGCGGAGCGGAGGCACAAGACGACTTTAACTTCCAAACAAACCCCACTCTCTGAAACGACTTTCACGAATCAGTAAACGACACATAATGCCGCTTTTTGGAAACGTATGCATATATTCCTGTTGTACGTCAAGACGTAATGAGACTGACTGCCGCTGCAGCAGAACAACCGCAACACTGCTACCGGAGCTGGCCCGACCACGGGCACAGGAGCTGCCTACAATGGTCACGCAGCCAATGAGCGTGTAGGACCGCTTGGCACTGGGACTGGCCCTTCTATGGACCCAGCACAACCCGCCCCAGGTGGTGGGTACGGTCATAACAACACCACCGCCGGGCACGGAGCATACCAGCAAGGCATGACCAGTATGCCGCCAGAACGCTACAACAACCAGGTACGCGAACCACCCAAGAGTCTCGATACATGCCCAGAGGCTAATGTTTTTGCCTACAGACGGGCGTCGCAGGTGATCCGTATGCAAACACGGTCGGGAACAACGACGTCGCGCCGGCCGCACATCTCAGCAGCGGTCAGAGAAGTGGCAAGGCGAGCTCGACGACGGGCAAGATGGAGCGCATCGCCGGCACGATGTTCTGTAATCAAACTCTGAAGGCGAAGGGCATGCAGAAGGAGCAGCAGGCTCAAGCGTTTGCTGCTCAGAGCGCCGAACTCTCCGAAGCACAGCGTCTGGAGCAAGAAGCTTCTATTCGCCGCCAGAGGGCCGTCGACCACGGTTAGTACATCACTTTTAACTATACGAGAGAACGAGCTTCTCACACCGTTGATTCAGGTGCGCACCCTGCCAATAAGGCACTCGGTGGTGCTGCTCAAGCGCAGGAGTTCGGTGGTAATTTCGGACCAACCGGCAGTGCAGGTGCAGGTGGTCTGTCCGGCAGCGGCGTAGTACCTGGGGCGCATGGCGGAGCTTTGTAAGCATCTTGCCCATATGACTTGTTCTCAGCTTGGAAGGAGTCCACAAGACCATGAGATGCTCCGCTTTGCATACCCTACGGATACCACATAATGAATAGCGAATTGTACAATAGCGATCCTTCTTAATCTACGTAATGGTGTTTTGGGGCGATCATTACATATGGAGCCAAGCTAGTGCCGAGAACGTCATATCTAACAAGAGCGGGCAACGTTAAGCTTTCCAAGTAGTCAAAAGATGCGACAAAATACCTCGTAGGCTTACCCTCATGAATGCGTGATGGCTTCTGCTACTTCAAGAGGATGGGACCGATGGTTCGCAAGTCTAGCCCAACCTTCCACGAGGCTAATCTCGCTGTCTGCAACGCACGACATCGAAAAGCCGAAAAGCCGACGTCCCTACGTCCGCGGACCGGCTGTCTCAGAACGGTTTGTGCCAGGACAGGCCGTTGAACTGACACCACTCCTTGACGCGTGACGCCTTCCTCTACGCAGGTTTCATGTCGTTATCATGCACATTCAGACACGAATTTTCTTGCTTTGAGCTGTCTTCTGATCAGTTCTTCACGTAATAAGCAGCCTCAGAAATGCGAAGAAGCCGTGCAAAGCGAAATAGGAGAAGCGTACGAGACGAAGCGCGGCCTCGAGGGCTGCGTTGCCGAGCGAATGCCGACGGAATGTCCTGTAACAAAGCCCGGATAATAGTCACTTGACGAACGAGACTTGACCTGTAGCGATAAGCCGCGGTTATTGCAGGGCGCATGCGGCATAACGCATTCATAAAAGCTGCGAAAATGTCCTTGCAGCGACTCTAGCAAAACGAGCCCCGGCTCTCCTTCCCCTGCTTGGCTTTGCTGGCCAGTCATGGCACACCAGCAGAAGACCAGCAGTGTCGCTGACGAACTGCCAGACGACGCGACCGTCGTCGGCGTCTTGGACGCCTCCCAGACCGTGGGCGAGCCGCGACTCCAGCCCGCTCATGCTCCTGTCACGAACTCACGCGATTCGGATGATGCTGTCAAGGCAGACGAACAGTCTTCTGTCCCCAAAGAAGCGCCGCCCCCCGCTGGTCTCACTGATCAGACCAACTTCCTGCCTACTAAGCAGGTTATTGTGGTATTTTTGGGTCTGTCAGTTGCACTGGCATGCGCATTCCTGGACCAGACTATGTATGTATGCTCTCCCCAATTTCCGTTTACCCTCAATAAATGAATCCATTGCCAGTATTGCCACAGCTCTGCCTCGCATCGCGTCCGACTTGCACTCAGGACAAGAGAGCTCATGGGTCGCCACTGCCTATTTATTGACGAGGCACGTCACATCTTCCTAACGCGAGGAGACGAACTAATGCACTAAGCGGATTCACTAGCTTATCGTTCACGCCACTGTATGGACGGTGGTCTGATATATTCGGACGCAAGCTTGTCCTATTATTGTCACTTACAGTATTCCTTGTGTTCTCCCTTGCCTGTGCGCTCGCACAAACCATGATACAGGTTCGTCAAGCTTGTATTAGGTCCAAAGCGATGCCTGTTGACGCAGGAATTCCAGTTAATCATATTCAGAGCGTTCCAAGGCATCGGAGGCGGAGGTCAGTGAGCCCTCCGTTATCAGTCCAGATACGTGCACTCACGTTTGTCTCATTTAGCTATCATTACCATGTTCATGATCATGTGCGCTGTCTTGAAAAGATTGTCTGCAATCTCTGAGCTTTCCACTTTTACAGTGTGTCGGATATTGTATCACTTAAAGATCGCGGCAAGTATCAAGGCATTAGTGAAGCAGTCGCTGCCCTCTCGAATGGTTTCGGGCCGGTCATTGGCGGTCTGTTCTCGCAGTACACCACTTGGTTAGTGCACGACACACCTGCTATCAGTTTTCCCGCTAACACGCACGTTCCTCCAGGCGGTGGGCCTTCTGGATCAATCTCCCTCTAGGAGGCATCGCTATCGCCGTCGGTATATGGGTATTACCTTTGAAGAAAGTTCATGGCGACATGCGCCAGAAGCTCGTGCAGATCGACTATGTCGGGTCCCTCCTCACGACAGTGTCTTCGATCCTGCTGCTTCTAGGGCTGAACTGGGGCGGCGTGACCCAACCTTGGGTTTCTGCACCTGTCCTCGTGCCACTCTTCCTTGGCGTGGTCGTCTTCGTACTCTTCCTATTCTGGGAAGCGAAGTTCACGAAGCTGCCTATCATACCGATGCACATCTTCAAAGTCAAGACCGTATCAGGCGTGTACATCTCTACGATGATGAAGTGAGTTTTCGCGTGACCATGCCATGCGTGATGGGCTAACCTTGTGCACTTTAGCGGAATGACGTTCTTCTCTGTACCGTCTGTTCAATTGTACATCTTCGGGGATTTGCTGATCTCGTGGCTAGATTTTGTACTATGTCCCCCAGTTTTTGCAACTTGTACGTGGCAGCACGCCTGTCACCTCCAGCCTCCTCCTCATGCCCTTCCTTGCTCCTATCTCGTTCGTCGTCTTCCTCTGTGGTACGTCCGAAATTACTTTTCGGTCTTCCCCAATTGCTCATCGAGCCCAAAGGCCAATACACGAGTCGCACGGGACATTATCGAAACCTGGTCATATTCGGATATGGCCTCTGGTGCATTGCACAGGGCTTGCAGTCCACCATTAACGAACACTCTTCTGTCGGTAAAATCGTAGGCACCTTGCTGATGGCAGGCGTCGCCTCTGGTTTCACGTTCCAAACGTACGCCGTTCTATTTCGTAACAGCTCACGAACGTGCTGTTAACGTGCCGTTACACAGGTCCCTCTTGGCAGCCCAGGCGGCCGTCCCCCGCCATGAGATGGCGGTGGTCACTGGTGTTCGGAACTTTGTCCGTCTCTTCGGGTCGACCATCGCCTTGGCCATCTGCGCTTCCCTGGTTAATAACACGCTGCGTACGGCCGTCCGCCCGCTCGGGCTGTCTGCCGATCAGATCGCGGCGCTGCTTAACGACCCGACAATCATAAACCGTTCGTCGGCTCTCGACCTCGACGCAAACAGCAAGGCGGTGGTCATCGCCGCATACACGAAGGGTTTCCACAGCGTCTTCTATCTGACGGTCACCTGCACGGGCATCGCATTCCTGGCATCCGTCTTCATGATTGAACAACACGAGCTCAACCGTGCGGATGATCAAGAACTTAAGCGGCAAGCGAAAGAGAAGCTAGCGAAGCGGAAGTTGGAGAAGAAGGAGAAGGATCTCGAGGCGGCGCAAGCGTTGCCCGAGCTCGAGAAGACGATGGCGCCGCCTAGCGAGGTCTCGAACGCCTCGGATAAAGCTGACGCTGACCAAGTTTAGACACAGACACGGCACTTGCGAGTCGGCGACTCGCTAGACTCACGCTCAGTTCTTCATGCCGAACGAGACATGCGCATTGAAACGACGACCTACCCTGTTACGACCCACACATAGAGTTAATCACCTGAGTACGAAGCACATCCGATAGATAGACGGTACTTTGTAAAGACAGCGTGTATTTCATCGCATCGCGCCGCCCATGTCAGAAGCGGTTAACGAGTCTACCACGCATAGCTATATCTTCGCACCCGGGTGGTGTAAGGCCGAGACTACAGATCTCTTGGCGGCTCATCCCGAAAGCACGACTAGCAGAGCAAACTGAGGGCCCGCTCGCCGCCTGCACTGTCCTCTGCCACCGCATTCCTTTGGAGGAGATGTTTCTGGCTGATTGGTGTACACTGCAACGGCGCAGAGGCAGTGAGCCGCGGCGTGACAACGCCATGGGGTGACCTATGTAACAGAAAAGTCTGAAGGCTGTGCACGTGCGCGTGCCTAAAAATGGAAGCAGTCCAGAAGCAGGCGCTTGTGAGGAGTGCTGTTCATAAAGTCGACGCGTAGTTGCGACTGATACCATCTCTGCCCAACCCCGTCATTCAAAGGTACGTCGAGCTCATCGCGCCCAACGTCGAGCTCGTACCAATCCTCAATATCTAGAACAGCAACTCTTACAGCCACAACATGTGCGGGATCTTCGCCTACTGCAGCTACCTCCAGGAGAAGGTGAAGCGCTACATTGTCACCTCGAATTCTCTGAGCATTCTCTCTGACCCCGTTTCGTCTTCCAATAGGACCGCAAAACCGTCTGCGACATTCTCGTCAATGGCCTCGCGCGGCAAGAGTACCGAGGATATGATTCTGCTGGTCTCGGAGTCGATGGGGACAAGAAGGGCGAGGTGATATTCTTCAAGGAGGTTGGCAAGGTCGCTGGCCTCCGCAAGAAGATCGCGGAATCGAAGGTTGACATGAGCAAGACCTTCCTATCGCAAGTATCCATTGCTCACACTCGATGGGCGACGCACGGCCAACCGTCCGTCGTCAACTGCCATCCTCTCAGGTCTGACCCGACTGCAGAGTTCGCTATCGTCCACAATGGCATCGTCACCAACGCTGCTGCCCTACGTCTCCTCCTCCAGAAGCGCGGCTACCGCTTTGAATCTGACACCGACACTGAGGCCGTCGCAATCCTTTGCAAGTACATCTACGACTCGCAGCCCGAGAAGCGGCTAAGCTTCACCGAGCTGGTCAAGACTGTGCTGACGGAGCTCGAGGGTTCGTTCGCGTTCGTATTCAAATCAGTGCACTACCCCAACGAGGCCGTCACCGCTCGTCGTGGTTCGCCTCTCCTCGTTGGTGTCAAGACTGAGAGGAAGCTCAAGGTTGACTTCGTCGATGTCGAGTTTCCGAGTGTAGAGGGCGAGAAGAACATTGATGCGCGTAAGTGTCTGACTCATGGCAAGCCGTACATGTCAAAACTCATTGTTTGCTCCAGTCGCCGCTCCCACCTCTCCTGGCGGTCTCCTCGCGCCGCCCTCGCAGAACAACCTCATGCGCACACAGTCTCGCGCGTTCATGTCAGAGGACGGCATGCCGCAACCCATCGAGTTCTTCGTCGCGTCCGATGCTGCTGCTATCATTGAACACACGAAGCGTGTGCTTTATCTCGAGGACGATGACATTGCGCACATCTCTGAGGGTGAGCTGCACATCCACCGTCTCCGCCGTACCGAGGGCCCCCCGGTTTCCTCGATTCGTACAATTGAGACACTCGAGATCGAGCTCGCCGAGATCATGAAGGGGAAGTTCGACCACTTCATGCAGAAGGAGATCTACGAGCAACCCGAATCCGTCGTCAACACCATGCGTGGACGTGTCAACTTCGACCAGCACGTCATCACCCTTGGTGGTCTCCGCCAATACCTCAACATCATCCGCCGCGGCCGTCGTATTGTCTTCTGCGCGTGCGGTACCTCGTACCACTCTGCCATTGCCACACGTGCAATCTTCGAGGAGCTCACGGAGATCCCCGTCACCGTCGAGCTCGCGTCCGACTTCCTGGACCGCAAGACCCCGATCTTCCGTGATGACGTCTGCGTGTTCGTCTCGCAGAGTGGTGAGACTGCCGACACTATCCTTGCGATGCGCTACTGCTTGGAGAGGGGTGCGCTTTGCGTTGGTGTCGTCAATACTGTCGGCTCGACGATCTCGCGTGAGACTCACTGCGGTGTTCACATCAATGCTGGTCCCGAAATTGGTGTCGCATCGACCAAGGTACGTCCTGCTATACCTAACCACACCATACTCTGCCTAATCATGGTGCATATAGGCGTACACGTCACAATACATTGCCCTCATCATGATAGCCCTCCAGCTTTCAGAGGATCGAGTCTCAACAATAGAGCGCCGCAAGCAGATCATCGATGGTCTTCATGCGCTTCCCTCGCAGATTAAGAGAGTGCTTGAGGGCGACCGTGGCCTGCAGGAGCTTGCGACCGGCGTTCTCGCGAACCAGCGGAGTCTACTCATTATGGGTCGCGGTCATCAGTATGCCACCTGTCTCGAGGCTGCGCTTAAGATCAAGGAGATTTCGTACATGCACTCGGAGGGTATCCTTGCCGGCGAACTCAAGCACGGCCCGCTCGCGCTCATCGACGAGAATATGCCAGTGATCATCATCATGACCCAGGATTCGCTCTATCCCAAGGTGCAGTCCGCGTACGCGCAGATCACCGCGCGCAAGGCGCAGCCGATCGTCGTCTGCAACGAGGACGACCAGGACATCCCCGCCGGCGTTAAAACGATCCGTCTGCCCAAGGCTGTCGACTGCCTCCAGGGTATCCTGAACATCGTTCCCATGCAACTGCTCTCGTACCACCTTGCCGTCAGGAACGGCTTCGATGTCGACTTCCCGAGGAACCTGTGAGTCTATTCTCTTTTATTCGCCCTCGTCTTCCTGTTCTGACCATCTTGCCCCCCCCCCCCCCCCCCCCCCCCCCCCCCCCCCCCCCCCCCCC